TGGAAGGAAAAAATTGAGTTAAAGGTAGAAAATGTCATATTTTTATTCTTTTAGTTTAAGCATATTTTAGTATGAACTGTCCTCTATTTAATGCCATGTAAATATTGTTATAGAGAATATAACACGGAGTTGTAAAATAACCGTGAGTCCAACTGCTGGCGTTTTCTTTGAGGTATTCTGCTAAGTTTGTTTTGAGTTAGTTTAGTATTGAGAATTCGTCGTAACAATTAAAACTCACCAAAACAAACACAAAGATATTTGCTTTTACCTGAACAGTAGAATCGTCGTTGACCGTAATAGTCCCAGATGAAACAAAGATTTTGGTCTGTTTACCATCATTCTCAGTGACGGTCACAATGCCGGGTCGGAGGACAGCTGGTAATGAAAATATAATTTTTATTAAACACTGAAAAATTTGTAGTTTTGTAAGAAGTTGTGCATATTTCGTTTACAGACTGAGTGTATGACTGCCACATCAAATATTATTATTATTATTAGGGTGGCTTCATTCAGGGCCTATGCATCCCCTCATCACTGTAACCAGACATGTGATCAGTCAACTGATCTATTGTGATCACCACTAATTACAGTGCAGAGCCAAGGGCGACAGCATTGAAGAATGCTGTCGCCCTTGCTTCAATCTGGCTCAGACAGATTTAATGTCCTCTGGTTCTGGCATGTGCCTTCTCAGTATGGAACTTCATACACCCATCAGAGGGTAGAGTTGGGCGAGTAGATGAACAGGAGTTTCATCCGCCTTGTGGCAGAATCTACATTCTCTATTCTCTCTCTGCCCAACATTTTACATGTGCTTGTTTAAGCCACAATCCCCTGTTAAGGCTTTAGTGAGCATTCTTATGCCATTTCTGTCCAATGACAGAGCTTCTCTACAGTGTTTGGCACTGTAGGCATATATCAGGACTTTTGAATGCTCAAGACCCTTGCTCTCTAGCCCCACTTCTCTGGAAAGATGTGTGCTCTCGTTTAGCAGAGTGAGCTTTGCCAGACTGTATGCTATTCCTATGAAGGGTTCGGGTCTAATAAAGGTTTCATTTCATCATTTCAAGGTCATTTCATACATCAAATGTTACTGAAGATAACAATTTGACTAAGAAAGTTCATACCAATTTAACCCTAGGATAACCCTATTCCAGTGGTACTTCAATATTGAAAACCACATTATCTAGCTTAGATCTCAAATGAACTCACGATTCAGTCAGTTCTAAAGGTAGATTTAGTCAGTGCCATGACATTTATTAGTTGTGTCTCATGTGAGTGCTTGGACTGACACAAAATGAATGGGACATGTTGAATAGAGTGGTGTACATCACACATATTTGTTTTAGTTTCTCAAAACACTAGAGAAGTAAAAACATTATTGAAAACTCACCGAGTGTAGGTACATGCTTAGGTAAGACACCAAAGGCTCCACTGAAAGATGGTACATCAACCTGTTTCACAACTTTCTTATTGTAGAACACCTGCAATTAAATTTTAACAGACAATGAAGATATTGCAAGAATGAATATTAATGCTTATTTTGGAGGGAAAATGGTTGACACATATAGAATGTTTTTTTGCCAGATCAAGTAAATTTTTTTGTGAATTTTGGATTTGAGTGAAGAAACTACTGCTTTAGCCTCTTCATCATCGAGCACATGCATATATTTTCGTCTCCTAATGTTGCCACCGTCAACAAGTGCTTTAGTTTTTGTTTAAGTATTGAACAGACTGCTGTGTTTACGTCTATAACTCTTCTAGAATCATAGGATTGTCCAGGTATGTGTGGATTTCAGAGATGCTAGTGTGGCACAATTAATAATTTGAAGGATGTTGTTTTGGACTCTTTTGGAGGTGGTGGCCCAAAACTGAATGCTATAAAATTCTATAGACACCAATATGGCACAGTACACCATGAGCTTGTTACTAAGAGACAGGATGGACTGCCTACCCAGATATATGTCTGTATAGGATTATTCTAATGGTACCTTTTAAACTCAGTACCTATTACTAAACTAGTATCTCTTAATATAAATAATTGAAACAGTGTTCATGACATGGTTAAGTATGAAATAGTAACACAAAATCTGTAATATATTTTGCTGATCATTTTGCTCCCTATACCCATACAATTTAAAATAAATAGATTAGTACCTTATTGCCAGCAGCAAATGTGAGAGCCATTTCACCCTCTTTTAAAGGTTCTTCTTTAACAGGCGCGGCGTACGAGCGGACCTGAAAACGTCTCGCTGCTCCCCTTAATAGGCTACGCATTGCCATCGCCATTCTATGAAAAAATTAAATACACAAACTTTAATAGTGTTAATTTTGGGCAACTCACGATTAACATGAAAAAAAAAATTATTAATCAAATTCACGTTCTAACAATTATTGTAATCTTTTAAAGACGGTGTTCAGCTTTTTTTTGCAAATTAATTGTAAAGACCTCGAACCTAACCTCCAAAATTCAATCAAAGATTATTATAATTAAAAAGTACCGGAAACTAATACCACTTTAATGGAAGACCAATTCAGTAGCAAGTAGACGGTAGAATCTAAAATGTGTAAAATAAATAGTACGTTACTATTATTAAAAACAAGTGAAGGAATATCTAGATTATGTAATAATTTTTCAATATTTATTGAACATAATTAAAACCTCTAACAGTAGTGGAATGTTTAAAACGTGACCATTAATAATTAAAGTGACACTTACATAAAATTTTGTGAAGTTTTAAAGTTAAAAAAACTATAATTTGATGATGATAAAATATCCACTCATACACCGCACCGCACTCCGCACCCCCTTCGAAATTGATTTGATGATAGGTAACTATTGACAGTGACAGTTTGAGGATTGATAAAGAGTTACCATTCATAAAAAATGTTCTCTGTGTTACTACAATCTACACCACTGCCATCGCCACCAAATCGCTATCAATCTATTTCAATTTCTTAACCTCGAAAACGATACAACACATGAATCTAGTCCAACATAAATCATAAAATGAAAAAAAAAATACGCGGGAAAAGAGAACAATATCAATTCGTCAACAAGACAAAAGAAGATTTTTTATTAACATTTTCTTCTCAATGTTTTAGATTGCCAAAACCAGCAATCGTATAACTTTTGTGATACATATTCCAGCATTGTTCTTTGTATTTATGATTTGAGATGATTCTCGAAGGACTGGATCCAATTGTTCTATCAAAGTTAATATCACAACAAGTTGAGCAAGTAACTTGTTTAGAATGGTGAGTGCCTGAAAGGAATTGATAGCATCCCACTTAATTAAATTGTATCTTCAATGTATCGTAATAAACTTAGACCTCTGTAAACAATTTTATTTGCGGATGTTGAATAAAGCCCAGTATAACCTAAACTAACGAATGTACCTATCTGCGTCAAATAACAAAAATGTACGCAGCTAGTTGATGTGCGTTAGGAGCTACGGTCTAAATCATCTCAGTGAAAGCGAGTTTTACACACCTACCAAAGATCTCTGAACAATTCGTACAAATCAACCTTGTCTCGTCGTACTATACATTAATGGCAAATTGGAATTCGTATGAAAAGTAGCCCATCAAGGCCACTGGTATATTATTATGTACTTTTATCAAATGGTGAATTCTTATTGTTAATGTAATACAAATGTAATGTAAACTTAATGATGACAGCTCAGGTTATTTTGATGCCATCTGTACTTATAGGCGTAATGTTTTCTAATTATGAATGTTTTGCTCTTAGGCCATATAGAAGGGTCAAGTGATTGAGTTTGTATTTTGTACTTATTTTAGCTGTAAATATTACATTGCCCCTGAGACAGCAACCTGTGGTCATACATTATGCCATGCCTGCTGGAGCGGCCGACACTCCTGCCCCACATGTGCAGCACCATTTAACAGAAAAGCACTCCGACTAAACCTGCCCTTAAAAAATCTAACAGAACATGTACATGTTCTTGGAGATACTTTTGAAAAGCTATTCAATCTTAAAAGTAAGTATGTAATTTAATTTTTTTGTTGGTTTTCATTGTACTTACTGCAATATACTCTAGGGCAACCATACTCAACCTATGGCCTGCCAAACTTTTATATGTGGCCTGAAACACTTACTAGAATGGTGCTTTTAAAAATTATAGGTTTCTAATGTTTTAAACTCCAACCCTTTCTTGTTCTTGCTCGTTCCTCCACTCATTAAAATTGTAATGTTTTTAATTTTTACTTGTTTTTATATTGATATATTTAGGTTTTGTTTTTTGTTTATTATATGGGGAGCAAAATTTAAAACTAGGTCTCCACTAAAAAACAGTCAATGAATGTGCAAATAATATAAACCTTTTTTTTTTCAGTAGATGAATTTGAAATTGATATACCTGAAAAAATGCAGGTTAGTGATCCAACAAAAAATGTTAAGGATTGGCTAGCAAGTTCACAGAATCACTTTTCGGCTCCTGTACTCAGTTCACAACAATCTACACAAGATGTTCTTCCTGCTATAGAACTATCATCAAGTAAACTACAAATTCATTCAAAAACTAAGAAAACTCAAAGCCCAGTTAAGGTAGTGCTTACACCCAAACCCCAAGAAGATTGGGATAAAATTGAAGTCTTACCTGATACAGAAGAATTTAATCCTAAAAATAAAGAGAACCTTGTTGAACCTGTAAACTTTGAACCTTTCGCTATTGATGACAATGAATACACCAATGACAACCCACGAAGGAGTTTCAGGAAGCGGGAAATCAATCCTGATGGTATTCCTCGTAAAAGAAACATTTCCTGTGACAAAGTCTCTAAAAATTCAAGTACAGACACAGAAAAACAGTTGCTCAAAACAAAACAGAATTGGAATAGTGTTAAAAAAATGAGAAAGGAATTTGGTAAGTTAAACAAGAAAAATAAGAGTAAATTGAATGTCTCTATTGAAATGTGTAAAAAAGCTCAAAGTAAATCTAAACGGCAGCCCCCAACACCTCCTGAGACATCAAAACAACCCATTTATAACATAAATGATGGCACTCCAGATATACCAAAAGAGATTACTCCCACAAACACTATAACTGCAAGTTTTAAAGGAAATGTAAATACTGATTTTGATGCTTATAACAAAAATACCTCAGATGTGCCTTCAAAAGAAGAAAATACTGATAAAACTTCAAAATCGGAAAATAAAAGTCATGAGTTAACTGGAATGGATATTGACAAAGACCAACATAAAATGCCAGAGAAATCTATTACTGAAAGCATGGTAGTAAATGAGTTGCCATTCACCAATTCTGATGCAAATAAAAGTAATACAGAAACAAATGTAACCAACTCAGTAAAAATGCCAATAATCGAAAAAAACAATTCACGACAACAATCACCAGATGATAATTGTGTAGTAATAACACAAAATGAAGTTAACGCTAATCCAATATCGACAAATACAGACGATATAGAGATATCAATAAAAATCGGGAGTACAATAACAAACATTGTTATTAAGAAAAAACAAAATGATATGCAAGTGAAATTTAATACTGATCGTGAAATTCAAACGTGTTTGGGCCCTTATGGTCTCATAAGCAAAAATGATGTAGCATGTTCCCCTATAAAAACGGCGTCTATACAAAATATAGAACTTAATGTTGCTGACGGAAATGTCGTAGAAGTTAATAAATCTATTATTTCCACTAAAAAAAATACAGCTTCGGCTGATACAGCTACAGCTCAATTTGAGATTACTGACAGTGTAGAAAGGGAATTATCAAATGTAATGGAAAGCATTGTACCTAAATCATATAAAAAAAATCAAAAAACGCCTATAGAGAAAACAACTACAAATGTTCAATCACAAGTAAATGTAACAAAATTGATTGAAATTGAAAATGAGATACCTGAAGACATGGAGGGTTTAGACGATTTGGATCTTTTTAACAGTGGTTCAGTCAAGGAGACAGATATAAAGCTGCTTAAAAATTCGAAACCTACACAGTCGGAAATTTTGGTTATTTCAAGTAACACTAAAAAATATCATAAACCCTCTGATAAAAGAGATAGAGACGTCGACGTAGATGATGATATTGAGGACATGCCGCAGAACAAGAAACAAAAAATTGAAACAAACAGTTGCAATAGTCAGAAACCTAATGAACAACCAGCAAATCCTATCGACCTACCGCTAGAAATAAGATCACCATCTCAAGTACAAGATAGTGAAAACATGAATTACGACGCGATAATGGGTCAAGTATTTGCTAATATCGATGCCGATATCAAAGTCAGCCAAAAGAAAGTTGCGACAAAAGATATACCTACGGAAAATACGACGAAACCGACAAACTTCAACAATTCGAAAGCAAACTCACAACTAAGTCAAATCATACACAAAACTCCAGTATCCCAGCGGAAGAGTTACTCTTTAATTAAAGTTAAAAACGCTTCAGTTACAGAAGATATTGTGAACGAAAAATATAGTGAAAATATGTTTTCCATGTTGGATAAAGACAGTGAGCCTCAGGAAACAACTGGGAGGAATAATCAGGTACGTGTCAATTTACAGAATTCTACTGGACTTTTATGGCTTGTAAATTCAAAATGTTTGATTTTCTTATTAACTTTTGATTTTATTTTTGGTATATCTTTCATGACTTGTTAATTCAAAACTTTTTCATCTATTTAATAACTTTTGGTTTATTTTTGGTATATATTTTTCAAAGCTTTTTAATTTCAAATATTTGTTTTACAGCATCCTGTAACTGAGGCTACCCAACAACGAATTGATAATCTGTTGACGCCAGGCATGCGCCGCGAACTAATCGCAACTCGAGAACAAAATACTCATACAGATCATATTGATTTGGATTTGTTAGAACAAGACTTAGGGACACCTGTTGTTCAACATGATGAAGATATTGTGGAAGAGACACCACAAAAGTTAGTATTTTATTAACTGCTTTAAGAAACTACAGATACAACTTATAACACTGATATTCAATTTGCAGGAACGTGTCTTTTTTAAATTCCAAACAAAAAAGTGATTCATCAAATAAAGAGTTCAGTAAACCGTTTGATAAGAATCCAGGAACACAAAAGCAAAGTCAAATTGCAATTCAAATGACTGACTCACAAATCATCAAAAGTATTATAAACATATCGGATTCAGCGGAAGAACCAACTAAGTCAAAAGATGGCACTGTAATTGAGAATCCCAAGCAGACATTAGAAACTCCATTAACGATAAACAAGTTTGTTACTCATATTAAACATAACTCTACGCCTGTCGCAAAAAAGTCTCTTAACTTCCAAAGTGAAGACCCAGAACAGACGTTATGCCCTACTACGACACAAGAGAAAGAACTCATGGAGAAAGCCTTTGAACAAACACAAAATACGCCTAAGAGACCACTAACCTTGAAAAATGTTCGCAATGCAAATGACAGAAAATTCTGCGTAGCAGGATCTTGCCTAACACTTGGTGAACTAGCAAATGTCAAAAGATTATGTCTTGAACAAGGCTGGAAATTTGTTGAAAAATACACAGATGAGTTAACTCATTTAGTGGTAGGTGTAGATGAAGATAATATATCACAAAGGTATTGTATAATTTCCACATTGTATTATATTGTTGCCTCAGCACTTTTACGTATCTAATACTTTGTTTTGATTTTTCAGAAGCGTGAAGTACATGTGTGCTCTCGCGGCGTCTAAATTTATTGTTTCATACGAGTGGGTGGACAAGTGTTTGATGTCGAAAACTTTTGTTAGTGAGGTAATAGAAATAATCTATTGCAATGTTTTCCAACGTAGGACTACAACAGAGGGCAATTAATTATTAAAGAGGGGGGCTAAAACTTAACAGTGAGCTCGTCCAGAGTTTTGGTTAACCGTAAGAGCATATGCACACGGCATACGCCGTGTTTATACGCGCCGTAAATACGCGTCATCTGCGAGTATACGCGCCGCAGACTCGAGGTAGTCGCACGTATGTGTCGCGCATTTTGATAAAGAGATAATTTGATTTTTGTTTGTTAATTTCAATTAGTTTTTGAAATGAAGCACCTGCATGAAATTCTAAGTGTAAACTCGAGTGGAGTATATAAGCGTCTTGCTTGTAACGCGATGTTTGTGCGCGTTTGAAACAATCAGCGCATCTGCGGCGCGTAAATGTGCAGATGAGGCGCGTTTATATAAAACGTTTATATAAACGCGCCTGCGTGAAACGCTCGTCGTCTCGGCGCGTATAAAATACGTCATGTGCCGTGGCTCTAAGGCGACTCAGTTATTACTCGAGCTGGTTAAACCTCCAGTTTAAGTAATATCTGGCGGCCTTGTTACTAGTCGTCATTTCATTGTTAGACGTGAGAATTGAAGTACTGGTTAAACTGAAATGGTACGAAATGCTTAATGCCCGGATCTCAGTCTGCAGGGTTTCACACTACGCTCAGCATTCACCGTTGGTGTTAATGTGATTTCCCAAGTTTGATGATACAGCCAATGTTAGTGGATTTATTTATAAGAACTCGCAGAAATGCAAAATGAAGAGTTAATTAAAACTGTTTAATATAAAAGGAGGAATGGCATGGCTTCATGAGGAAACCGAAACTAAATACCCAAATGCAATCATATGTGCAAGATAAAGATTGTTACCGTTTTCATTGTCACATGATGTACCTACTTTGGGCTTCTTACTATATTTAGATCACTTTCTTATATTTTGTACTTGTTGGATGATAACTGATCTTATTATATTTAGCTGAATCTGGATTTAGTGCCATAAATAATTTAAAAAATAATCTGGATATAACAAAACAGGGCGACTTGAAATTGAAGTTAACTAAATTGAAATCGTCCCGATGTATAAGATCACTACTGTAAGCATCAAGCGCAAGGATCTCACTAAATTTAAATAATATATAATTAGATAATTAGCACTAATTAAAATAAAACTATTTTATGCTTGAATTTCAGTTGTCCTTTATATATTTTGAAAAGTTACTTATTGTATTTGCTCATTACCTAAATGAACATTTAAATTTAAATTTCCTAAATTTTAGTGGGCATAAGAATTTTAGAAAGCCTTAGCTTTATTAACTGGGGCATAGCACAAAAGAGGTTGGGAAACACTAATCTATACTGTAAAAAAAATTTTTGAAATATTTTTTTATGTTTTATATGGTGAACGTGGTTTATTGATAAATTTGTATTCCAAATAGTTTCAATTTCTACATTACGGTTATACAAACTGTCAAAATTCTGTGTTGAAAATTGCGTACATTGTAATTTATCTAAAACTTGACATGTGGCTAAATGTACTTACACTGTTCGTATTAGTAAAATTTACAAATTAATTAATGAGGGATGAAAATTACAATTTGTTCGCAGTTCCCTTATGAAGCTCTAGACTCGTGCGGTGAACCCGGTCCGAGACGTTCTCGTGTCGCTGAAAAGAAGTTATTCGATGGTTTTACATTCTATTGCATGTCGCCATTCAGCATACTTGACGTAGAAACGCTAAAGGTGACAATTTTGAAAATGTTATTGTTTTAATGGAGTACACCCACCTATACAAGATTTTCTTCACAGTAGCAGTAGTGTTACAAACTGTAGTTTTTCCTATTTGATAATTGAATACATAATAAGTATTATACAGGGTGTCCGGTAATGAATGTATCATACTGAAATGGCTTATAGCACAGCTTAAGACTGTTCCAAAAAAAATGCAAAAAAAAATCTATCCCATGTAGTACCTAAGGAATGTTTTTTTTTTCTTAAAAGTTAATTATTTTTATCTTATTTTAGGTTTTTGTGCACTATGACTACAAATGAATGAATTTATTTTGTTTTTTGGTGTCATAATATTCTACGGTAACTGTGTCCTTAGATAAGCAGTAAATGGTATGACTAAGTAATGTACATTTAAAAAAAAAAGTTTAACTTCATTTTTCAGAGAAATAATTTATTTTTTACGAAATTTACGCGCCTTCTGTATAAAAAAAAAAGTATGATAACCTGTGTGGCCAAGTATTTTAAAATAATGTAGGTTTAATGAGGATTTCAAAATGATATCATTTCTCATTGTAAGTAATGTAAATATGAAATTATTGCTATTAATGTGCAAACGGAGTAAATTTTACTAAAAAACTATGTTTGCAAAATTGGAACATTTCTTATCCTGAATTGTTCTTGACTATTGAGTTTTGATAAAAAATAATATTAGGCATTAATAAAATTTTATTTAAAACTTATTTACCGCAAAATTATGCAAAAATCCAATCAAAGTAATTTTTCAATTGTTGCCTTTAAAATACCACGTGTGACCGTTATTTGCCACCTGCACGATAGCCACATTCCGCCCGTCTTTTGTTCATATGGTAAGAATCTCTTCCATCTCTTCATATTCATCACGAGGTGCTCTTCCAGCGCTAGTGCCACCAACACCACTACCAGGCATTCTTCCTTCTGAGTAACATTGGTGGACTCTTATAAATACGGCATTAGATGGGTGACGTGCGTTAGGGTATCTTTCTCTGTAAAGAGCTTCAGCTGCTCTTGAGCTGGTACCGCATTCCCCATAAATAATATGGATGTTTGCATATTCTTGTGGCGTATACTGAGTACGTGGCATTTTTATTCACAGACACAAAATACCTGTTCAGTCCAGAAACAAGCCAAGTCGTCGCAAATATCACCAAACTAACAAAGTCCAAATCAGTAAGCAAAACTATAGTCCAGTAAAATAGCCAGGTCGTAGTTGAACACTGATTGAAAGTAAATCGCAAAGGAACAGAAAACACGTGCAAAACCGAACAAATCGTATGATGCACTAAATCCTTTTCGTTTTTTTTACATTTGCTGTTAATTGTCACTCTTTGCCTCTGGTCCAACTCTGACCTTTCTTATCATATGAACAAACGACGGGCGGAATGTGGCTATGGTGCAGGTGGCAAATAACGGTCCCACGTGGTACTTTAAAGACAACAATTGAAAAATTACTTTGATTGGCTTTTTGCATAATTTTGCTGTAAATAAGTTTTAAATAAAATTTTATTAATGCCTAATATTATTTTTTATCAAAACTCAATAGTCAAGAACAATTCAGGATAAGAAATGTTCCAATTTTGCAAACATAGTTTTTTAGTAAAATTTACTTCGTTTGCACATAATAGCAATAATTTCATATTTACATTAGATACAATGAGAAATGATATCATTTTGAAATCCTCATTAAACCTACATTATTTTAAAGTACTTGGCCACACAGGTTATCATACTTTTTTTTTATACAGGAGGCGCGTAAACTTCGTAAAAAATAAATTATTTCTCTGAAAAATGAAGTTAAACTTTTTTTTAAAAAATGTACATTACTTAGTCATACCATTTACTGGTTATCTAAGGACACTAGAATATTATGACACCAAGAAACCAAATTAATTAATTCATTTGTAGTCATAGTGCACAAAAACCTAAAATAAGATAAAAATAATTAACTTTTAAGAAAAAAAAACATTCCTTAGGTACTACATGGGATAGATTTTTTTTTGCATTTTTTTTTGGAACAGTCTTAAGCTGTGCTATAAGCCATTTCAGTATGATACATTCATTACCGGACACCCTGTATAAATCACTTCTCAATTTTTTATAGCAAATATTAGAATCTGCAGGAGGTCGAGTTGTCACCAACGTTGGCGACGTAACAATCGGAAAAAACGATACTACGCCTAAAATATTGTTAGCCGAACCGGAAAATACCCAAGAGGACCGATTCATATGTAAGCAGATAATTTATTCATCTTTATTAATGACGCACATTGAAACAACAACTATTTGGTGTCTCGTACATGCATGTCTTTGATCACGTTGTTGTCATTACATGATGTCATGTCTAAGTAAAATGATTAACGATCCAACCATACCACGTACGCCTTTTACCTTTGGACAGTATACACGTATACTATGTGTTAGGTATATGTAATCGTTCTACAAATTTTGTAATCGCGTCATCATCTAGTCACACTATAGTGTGTTATTTTACCCGGCAGTATGTTATTTTATTACCATATTTTATAGGAACAATTCCGGATTTTTGCACCATCTACTATTCAAAATATACTCGACACTTTGTCGTATAAAGCCCCCTTTTCTCTAATTTCCAAATTTTGTAAAGGTCAAATATAGTTATCGCTATATTTGACCTTTCGCTAGTTTTAACAGTCATCAAAAATATGGTGATTGTAACCCTAGACCATTCTCAGAGTTAGGAGTTAGAAGCTTAAAATTTGGTATGCAATTAAGTCATATATGAAGGATTCAATCAGAAACCATCAGACTGTGTTTAGAAAATAACCGAAATTAAAAAAAAAACTTAATAGCTAAAAGTTTGAATCGCTATATCTTGTTTGAATAAATAGAGCAACTAATTTAATGACGCTATTTTACTTTTCGCTTTAATATCGCAATTTCAATAAACTTCAGTTGCTTACGACTGTGAAAACTACTTTTAAAGACTGAAGGTACCTTCAAATTGGACGCTTATAGAAGCGCTGAAGTGGTACCACTGTGGCGCTGCAGCGACGCCACTTATGTTCATACAATATTTAGAAGCGCAGTTGCAGCGCCACTTGTGACGCGCGCGCCAATTTCGCAGTCACAATAACCGGGCTCGCACCTCTGAGTTTTTCGGAATTTATGTGCGAAATTGAAATTTATCATGAGCTTTTCGGTGAAGGAAAACATCGTGATGAAACCTGCACGTAGAAGAAGGTTCACAACCCTCGGAAAACGTGTGAAGTCCCCAACCCACATTGGGCCAGCGTGGCGGACTATGGCCTAAACCCTCATCTGAAAGGAGACCCGTGCCCAGCAGTGGGACATACAAATGGGTTGATGATGAATGTTATGTTTCTTCAACAGATGTCGCGATGGAATTCCAAGTTGTACCAGTGAATTACGAGTGGGCATTGAATTGTCTCGGCGCCTACAGACTGTGCAGTATTCATGAATTACTCTTATGTCCCATGTCGTTATTACCACGAAGTACTTCATTATGGCCCTCCTCTTTGTTAGAACGCGAAGAAATCGAATAATTCTGTTTCTATGTTTTAGTACTGAACATTTATTATGTACTCTAGTGTATAACCTATATATTGGACATTTTTTATTATTAATTAAGTTATAATTGAGAATATATATTTCAATGTAGCAGGTAATAAAGTCGAAAAAACGTCATTATTAATTTTTTGCACACTTCCAGTCCCAGAGTAATATTAGACGAGAGCGGTAGAATCTAGGTCTATATGTGTACTTACCAAGCAGTAGAAATAATCTGTAGATTTACCGAACTATTATTTCTAATCATTGACTTGTTTCTAATAGATAACGAAATGATGTCCGATACTTCAGTTTGGATTCGAGTAAATAACCGCCCCCGAGTTCTGCAAATGCCACACAACTAACTATAAGTAAAAATCCTTATTAGTCTTTAATTATGGATTTTAACAGCCCATTCTTCCTGTAGGGGCAACTATGAAGAAAAGTCCTGTGTTTTATTGTATTTTAAATTCCGACCATACATAAATATCATGCCACCCGACCCGTTTCCCACAGCCCACAAGTTGATCGCACATTTCTTGAGTTTTCTCGGTAAAGTACTCCATACCACGATTCGGTTGACATAGTTCCGTCCCGTGTGATTTTCGTTAACCACAAATCGCACATAAATACAGGAAAGAAATAAAACCATACACATATTTCTCCCGGCCCGGAAATCAAATCCGGCTCAGAAGTCGCCCAGAGGCGTGGCAGACATGGAAACTCGCACCAATGTAATTCCGAAGCTTATGACTCTTCCTTTGATAGTCCCGTCTTCTTTTTCTTCCCGTATTTACGAGAATTGTCCATAAGTTCTCAAAGCACAGATTTTGCTGAAGAAGAAATTTAGTACCAGAAGCTATCTTGGCGTCAGTTGGTAAGCTTCGCTAGTTGATTGAAAGAGTTATTCCTCGTAATTGGTTAGATCCGTTTGTGGGGGGGCCATCTACACTGAATCGTTACCACGGGCTCGAAGGACCAAAACGATTAAAGGGTCAATACTACGCTATAGTATTGTATTGACGCCTATCTTATAGATGAGATAAATAAGATTAAATATATTTATGAAAATAATTTATTCGATACAAGCTTGATGAGGATATGTACCTCTTACGTTGTTGTTAAATGTGTAAATCGACTGAACACTAAGTAATTGCCTACTTATATGTGCACAGGTAAACAAACTGCACAAAGTAAAAGGTAAATAAGGCACAAAGTCGGTAAGCATAACTAAAATGTGCGTTTGTAAACCGTACAAACTAACATCCTCTAAATTCTTTAAAATATAGAAGAAAACAGCAAATTCCTGAAAGTTTCATTAAAGCGTGTAACACACATGATCGTATTCCAGAACTCTACTCAGTGCTCAAGTCAGGACTTGAGTATTGATTTCAAGCACTAGAATACGACCCAGAGAGCGGGTGCGGGTCCACGGCGGGTCTAATTCCATATTTCTATGGACGACAAGACGACTTGTCTCGCGAGTGACAAGCACGTAGAAAAATTCGTGAGATCCGTTGATTCGTTCTGCTTAGTAGGCATACCGTCTACGCTGGTGCGAATCCAGCTGGATCGAAGGGATTTTTTCTTAGTGGTGGTGAATGTCACGATTCAATAAAAGTTAAAAAAAAACTTAGGTATTTAAGCTCAGATATCACCCTAAGTAGATAATCCAGCTCAGGTATTGGATTTTATTCTGAAATCACACAATCTCCAATAGTATTTATTATTATTATACCTAAATACATACATATACTTCAATAGAGGTACCATTTTCAATGTTGATGGCTGTTCTCACGTCCTGCATAACCTAAAGGCATAGTGCTTTTTCTTGTTTCCATTTGTCCACGCTTATATCGCATGACGGCAATTTTTTATCAATTTGAATCAACTTTCTTAACGCGTATAGGTACTTCTCCAAAAATCAGACATTACCTTATCCTGTATCGATAGGCTTACGTAACTCAAACCAAATAATAAATTGCATAAAGTAGGTACACACAATTGATATGATACACGTGAATGTCCTTGCTCACGTGTCCACGTTATGTTGCATCATAAAACGCATTACCTAAATATAGTCGCCAAGTTAATAAAAACAGTTACTCTAATACTTATTACCAGACAGGTTAAAGTATTGTGTTTCTATGAATCATGATAATATTGTCTGCAGATACAAAATACAGACCATAATACATGTGTGTATCGTGGAATAGCACTATCACATAGCGTCTATTCGCCGCACCATGCCATGCCAACGTGATGCGATGGGTGTTCGTGACGTAGTCTTAGTATCGCGCCACCTTGTCATCCAATCCTCGAGTCCCGCACTCGCTTGCTGCACTCTGCGACCGGTCGGGGGAAATGTAGACGGCTAAATTCGGTTCACAGTCCAACGTGCACGTTATCATACGGTGACCGTTTGCCAGCTATATCTCCGCTTGCAACTTGCTCATGATTACATATAAATATACAAACAGTGATAAGTCTCACATTATAACTTCGTCAGTGTATCTGTGAACACAACGAAATAGCAGTGTTATACGAATTTTAATTCAACCTTTTACGTAAGTTATTTATTTAGATACAGTCAGATTACTGTTATTGGATACAGTTCTATAACGTTGCATTACTCATTCTAACTTTCGTATAATTTTAATAAGTGTTCATAAACTAAAGTTAAAACCGTTACCTCCTGGTAACGGTAAATTATCTGTTGTAATGTTATAAGCATGTAAGTGTTACAACAAAATAATATCCGCCGCCACCTAAATGCAATAGAATTTATATGTAAGAAATTTTAAGTAGGTAAATCTAACAATTTATCTGTATTTTAATTTTTAACTAGCAGCGCCCTAGAATCAAAGCTAGACAGTTTGGTGTAGAATCCATTATATTAATTTATTAGGTAAACCTAAATCTTTACATTCTAGTCAAACCTTATACAAAAAGAAAGTTTAGCAGCTCTAGTGGTCGTATTCCAGAACTCTACTCAATGTTCAAGTCAGTACTTGAGTATTGAGTAGAGTTCTGGAATACGAACCTAAGATATGTCTGTATTTTTAGTATACCTACTGGTGGTGATGCATTTAAGAAAGATTATTTTTACTGATGATTTCACTATCCAATCATTTTAAATCACATTTTACTGTAACTTGCTTCTAAATAGCCATACAAAATTTTACTTTATAATTCACGCTAAATAAAACTTCAAAAGATCCTATATACTAAACGTAGAACAGTAGTTGTAGCCTACGAATTATACTATTTTTCCAATTTGAAAAATGTTCACTATTTCAAATTTTCGGAAAATTATCCAATACAGTAAATTATATAAAACTCTCAATGAAATCCTTAATTTTTACGAAAAATAAATCCAATAGGTACATCTTTTTTCATTCAAAATAAAGAACCTAAGTAGATTTCGATACATACCAGTGAAATATACATAGTTCTTTCGACACTGTTTTGTTTTTATGTTGCGAAATTAAATTAGGATGCAAGGAAAAACTGAACGCGAAAATCGTCAATCGTCATCCATTTTCACTTTCCCATCTGACGTTTGACGTTTGTTTTATTTTGTTTATTGATGACGTCATTGATGGCTCTATTATAAAATTCATAAATTGTGTCCATTCAATTTGGATTATTTGTGCAAACCCAACAGTAATCCAAATTAATACAAAATTTATTAATGTATTTTCAAATATGAATTTTGAAAGTGAAATAGAAGAGTGCACTGAACGGTACATAATATACGTTGCCGCCGTGAAAACAATCGTCTTCAAAATTGAATCTTAAATTAATAATTTTTACCATTACAGAGTCACGCGCTCAAAAATGGCTCCAAATGCTACAGAACTCAACGGGGTCCTCTTTGAAAGCGATGCCGCTACACCCGACATGGCGTTAGGGACTGCTCCCGTTATGCAGGCGGACAAAGAACCAAAGAAATATGTTTGGAGGAACATTATCCTGTTTGCATACCTTCACGTCGCGGCCGTCTATGGTGGATACCTTTTTCTTTTCGAGGCGAAGTGGCTAACTTGTATTTTCGGTAAGTTTATCAGTTTGATTATCTACAGTTCTCGTGATCAGAGCAGGTGTTATCGCTATATTCCATAATTAAAACACAGAAGCGAAACTAACAAATGTGCATGCATTTATTATGTAACTAAGGTATATGCAGGTATAATACATTTCTGCCATCCACTAACTAAAATGTGGCTAAGTGACAAAATATTTTGTGATATATCATAAAAAACCAAAACCCAATTTTAGAATATTGAAATTGTTTAACAATATTTCAGCCATGCATCATTGGGGTAAGTTCCGATAAGTCGAACATGTTAAGTAATTTTAACTGTTTTGAAAAGAGAATTTTGTGCTCTACCTTTTGCTATTTAAAACGGATGTTTGACGGCTAAGTGACAAGCCGCGTTTTAGTTAGAGGACATAACAAACAACACTTATACTAACATCCCCTCTGGTGTCTTGACAATTAGTCACTGTGCCGTCCGGTTAAACAGAATTACCTAACTTTGTTTTAAGTTACTTATTTACACCGGCTTAAAATGAGTATTGTTACACTTATGAAATATCTTTAATATCTGGCTAATTTCTTAATAACTAGGCAGCAAGCACTACTATATTAAAAATCATATCTGATTGTTTTTTCTTGTTATATGAATATTATAATACCTGCCTATTAGGTAGCTTTAAAAGAATACAAGATAAATGAAATAGTTTTTTTTCACAATAGATTCGATTTTACAATATTATTATTTATATTAATTCAATGCAAATTTGTTTGTAATGGCACCATTGAATTCCACAATGATTCTGCCAATATCAGGGTCAAAAATTACTATGTACAGTTGTTTTGTATAAATAATATAAAACTATGGCAAATAATGCCAATGTCCAGTTGAAAATTCATATTCATTTAAAGTTATTTCTGACAACAATGTAAAACCATTAAGCCAGTAGTGATCCCTTGACCTGGACCTCCTCTGTGGTATTCCATCCATTGCTGTCTCTATTAAGTCGGTGGTGATCTACACTACACTATTTTGCTTCATTTTTGTTGGGGTGTGCAACCTATCCCATGTGGGTGAGACTCCCCCCAAGGGCATAGACTTTAGTATGACTTAAGTGAATTTCATAAAATATTACCATTGTTTAAAAGGGAATATTCAATTGTTCCACTTTTTTCTCAGTCATGCAATCAGATCCTGCAACAACTAGTAGGTCTATGTGGTGTTACGCAAGCAAATATTCCCTTTAGAAACGTCTCTACATTATCATAATGTTTAGCTAATTTCAAACAGTTCTATTCTGCCCTCCTTGTCATAACTAACACAATAAAACAGAAACTAAATATAATATACAAAAAAAACGAGTAAAGGGGGTTATGAGTGTAGGTCTCGTTTTGCTGATCCCTGATGTTATAATATAAACTCAATTTTGCTAAACATGTCGATTACGTTAATTTGATAAGGAGGGTAGTATTCTAGTTCTTATTATTTACTTAGACTTTTTCCTGATCAAAAATACTTTTTTTGCCAACAGCCTACCTACTCTATGTAGTGTCTGGACTTGGTATCACTGCCGGAGCACATAGACTTTGGGCCCACAAATCCTACAAAGCCAAATGGCCTCTGCGACTCATTTTGATGATTTTCAACACTATTGCATTCCAGGTAAGATCAATTTATTTTAGTTTATGAGTTAAATTTCGCTGGCTCTGTTAGATAACTTTATTTACATAAAGTTATATTCCCGTGAGGGGAAGGTGGAATAAGAAATTATGTAATCGTTTATCTATTTGCAATCCAATCTATTTGCAAATGGTAAGAATCCTTAAGTATAATCCTACTTGTATAATGTTGTTGAGTGTGTTATAGTAAAAGTAAGGTATTTTTAGATTGTGCTTGTTAATTTATGTATTAATAGATGGAAAAATTATCCAAGTACTATCTAACACCCATTTGTAAATTTGGAATGATCGATGTCATCGATTACAACGCAAACAAGTGTTTTAAGACTTTATCAGTTACAAACTTGGTGTTATTCTTGAAGTATTATTGGAAATAATCTTTAATCACATTATTATTTTTATCTATTGCACTTTATTATCTTATTAACTTAAATTCTACTTAGCTAGTCAAATAATTCTATAAAATTTTCCCTGTTGTATTTTGATTTCGCATTATAGGTGAAGAAATATTATTTGCACCAATGAATGTTATCTCTTGGGACGACTTTATTTTACAGTAGGGTAATAAAACCATTAACACTTCTTTTAATTAAAAATTTACGTGGACTTTAACTGCCTCTGTGGCCGAACGGTTACCATGCCGGACTGCCTCGCAGAGGTCCCAGGTTCGATTCCCGGGCCGGGAGAAATATTTGTACGGCCTATATTATTTCTCTCGTGAGTTTGGGTGTAATTTGTGGTTGTCTAAATGTGTGTCCATGGCACCCGCGACACAGGGTATCCCTAGTGCAGGGCTATGTTGAGTGTTTGCTTTATTATTATGTGTGCGTTATTATTACTTAATGATCTTGGTGCATTGTACAAGTCATGGGTGCGTTAAATGCTTTTTCGTTTTCAATTATTTATTTGCTCATCAGGTCGTTTTAACTACTAGTCACTGAGACGGCTCACTCTTTTGTCTTGTTGTATTCTATAAATATAGCTTCTTTTGTTCTATTGTACTCTAAAGATAAAACGAATCGATGCAAATAATATTTCGCCAACTATACATCCGAAAACAAAACTCGCTGAACGTATTCAAAAATGTTCCATTACTAAGTCACGCACAACCTTCAATCTTCAACGCTTGATCTGGCAAACAAACCGCATTTGCAGGACGCACCTCACGCCGCCTGACTCACCTCGAGTAGGGGTGTTCAAGCGGAGTTGCTAATTAATAGCTATTGCTTTGCGCATTTACATTTGTTGCGCACATGTATGGTTTGTAAAACTGTGCACGAAGTACAACTGGCTAGCTTGCATGACCCGTAAGACAGGGTGCGAAGGACGAGTTCGGCACGAACGCGATGCAATTGCGATCCGAATCGGGCGAGCAAGCTTGCATTTATTTCATTATACAATATTACAAAGCTGTTCTGAGGGTTTTTGAAGGATATAATATGTATTTTAACATAAAATAATACACGTGTATTGCAACGTATATCTTTAAAACATCTAATGAAACTAATAATTAATAACCTTTTACGTATTATTCGAGATATGCGAATTAACCCATTCGTGACGACTGCAAAATCCGAATACCAAATGTAACAGATATTCGAATAAAGCTAATATTCGGATATCCTGATTGCAAGCCCTAAGTGGGAATAGCTAGACACGACAGTCGTTCAACGATAAAATAAACGTCCATGGCACAAGCTCCATATCTTTCTACGTTTTGATTATAGTGACCCTCCCGTCCTACCCTGATTCTCGTATGCCCGAGAAGGGCACTATAACCTGTACGTACTGACCCCCAGATCAGCCAGTGTACAGGGCTTTCACAGACCTCTGTCTCTTGACTTCGTCTGATTCTTCGAGAGGCTAGTGCCTCGAGTGAGCCGCCCCGGGTGCACGTACAGTACCCTCCCTATTTTCCAGATAGGTACCGGAGCTGTAGGCACGCTCAATTCTCGTTGCGCATTGCACAACTAGCGGTTTCCACCGCTAAGCCGTCGACTCTGAGTCCACTACCAAATCTCCTCATTGGTGGCGGAGCTGTTAGGCACGCTCACTTACCGACGCCGAAAATCGACGTCTCTCCAGTTCCCAATAACCTAAGCGGCTGGAGGGACCGGATGATATCTAGCTACTAGCTCTCCGGGCTAGTGCCGGAGATGCCAGTCGCAGTGTCCTTCGACATTGTTCGCACATAGCTCCCAACTTAAAGGGCAACTCACGTGGCCCGCGCGTCTCTTCGCTTCAGACCCTCAACTAGACCGTTACTAAGACGCGCTAGCTGTTCACGAGACAGACGCCAACAAACATGTAAAACCGGGGCAGACCCAAGTCCGGGTCCGCCAGAGACGCCCGCAAAGGCTTATCACTGGCAGAGAGAGGGCTTGGAGTGCACGGCACAGTCACGACAGATAGTCGTGATATGATAATAGGCTAGGTGCGACAGTCGTCCAACGATAAATAAAATGTTACGACATAATGGGAACGCACCCTTAAAGTTTAAAAAAAAACATTAGAGATTGAAAACGAGTGTATTAAATTCAAGGTTGTCTCGTCTCTAACCTGACGTCACGGATATGCCATTTTATGACGGTACGTTTTAATATTAGAGTGTCTTTGTCCTGCGCATTGGTAGAAGAAAAATTAGTCAATTAATAAATTTAAGCAAATATACATATATAGGAAATGAAACTATTTTTCCGGATTTAAATCGCGTATATTTGTTTTTTCAAACAAACCGACGTTTCGGGCCCTTTACAGGTCCCATGGTCACGGTTGACTGAGGTGGTACAGTCTTCAACCAGTTATGTCTAATATTAATGCAAACCACCCTATTTTTTATTGCTTCGTTTGTCCAATATAAGAGAGACCGCACTCACAACAAGTTGAGTGCTGAAGAATCCGAGCATTTACCTTAACAGTTTTTTTAACCGACTTCAAAAAAAGGAGGAGGTTCTCTATTCGACTGTATGTTTTTTTAATGTATGTTACGCGATAACTCTGCCATTTGTAAACCGATTTTGATGATTCTTTTTTTGTTGGAAAGAGTGGTCAGAAGTGGTCCCATTTAAATTTGGAAGAAAATATTCGACCTCTAAGCGTGGTAAATTAGGGGATGAATGACTTTTGAGGTCGGTTTTTTTAATACTCTATACGGAAATTAGGTTATTATTATAAACGTTTTACCCACAGGATTCTGCAATGGATTGGTCAAGAGATCATCGCATGCACCATAAGTACTCTGAAACTGACGCTGATCCTCACAATGCAACCCGTGGTTTCTTCTTCTCCCACATCGGATGGCTGCTCGTCAGAAAACACCCTGATCTCAAAAAGAAGGGCAAAGGGCTGGACTTGAGTGACCTTTACGAAGATCAGATTCTCCAATTCCAGAAGAAGTGAGTATAATAAATCTTTAAACACTACTTTAAAAGTATATTTAGTAGCAGTAGAGCTCCTTGTGAAAGAGTTCGTCCAGGGTAGTACTGCCACCTTATCTACTTCTGCCGCCATGCAGCAATGTCAACATTACTGTGTTCCGGCTTTGAAGGGTAAGGGTGCTGATGAAATTACAGGCACATGGGACTTGTCAACTTGTGTCTCAGGGTGACGGTCGCAGTGGTAGTGCCCCTCAGATTTTTACAATATAACGCTCTGAGTGGCTAGCTAGTGAATAGCTATATAAATTAAAGACTTTTTGAGAATAATGTCACTTATGTGGTTTTACCTTTAAATAGACGATATATTTTATTTCTTAAATGAAATAAAGTACTAAAGTATACATTAAGTTTACATTATTACTTTGTCGGAATTTCTTTGAAAGGGCGTAATGTTTTTTTGGCTGTAAAATCTTATATGCCAAAAGTTTTTTCATCGTTTCACAAATAAAAAAGAGATTTAGTTTCTTTTTTCAAATGCAATCGGAACAATGTCTTTTGCTTCCTATTACGTAGATATGAAGATTGCTTCTGATTAACGCTATTTCGCATCGACTAGATCCTTTGGCGGGCGTGAATAGAGCATACTCTAATCGTATATCTAATATTGCACTCACACAATATTATACGATATCAATATTTACGTAACCTACCTTACTTACGTGGCTACTGGTAAAAACAAGTACCAAATGGAAACACGCATTGTTTTGTTTCCTACGGTTATTTCATAGCGTAAAATTCAAGTTTGTACTTACTTATCCATGGACCCTCCATAGAACTAGCTAATACAATCGATATGGTCCTTTCATTGCCGAAAATTGAACTTTACGTAATGAAAGAGTACGGACTGTTAACTCTGCGTTATCAAATTGCAAGTCGCTATGTGATGTAGTACTTTATTCAGTCACGCTAAGTTTAGGTAATGCACTTTTATGACGTACAATTGTGTATAATATTTTTAAAAATGTTATTGAGCACACCCATATACAGGTTGTGAAGTTAAAGGTATACGTAGGTACTGTAACTGGGTTGTAGCTTGGGATGCGTAGCGAGAGGTACTTTTATGAATATAAACTGGAATAATCTTCAAAACTTGGTTTATTGTACTTTTCACATAATTTCAGCGTTGGGTTACATTTCGTAATCCATCAAGATGTTCTCTTCTTATTTCATTTTTCAAAACACATTCTAATTACAAAACTATATTCATTCAGCCAGTGATTCTACTCATAGAGTAGAGCCTAGGCTACACTACATACATTTACGTGTATAAGTTTTAACGTCATTTGTTATTGTTACAGATACTACCTGATCTTGATGCCCCTTGGTTGCTTCATCATGCCTACATTGGTTCCGATATACTTCTGGGGTGAGAGCCTGCTTAATGCGTTCTTTGTCTGCGCCTTGTTCCGCTACGCCTTCATCTTGAATGTCACGTGGCTCGTCAACTCGGCTGCTCATAAATGGGGAGACAAGCCCTATGACAAGAACATCAAGCCATCCGAAAACATGTCAGTCGCATTATTCGCTTTCGGCGAAGGTTTCCACAACTACCACCACACTTTCCCATGGGACTACAAGACCGCCGAACTTGGTAACAACAGACTAAATTTCACTACAACTTTCATTAACTTCTTCGCTAAAATCGGTTGGGCTTACGACCTTAAAACTGTATCCGAGGACATCGTTCGTAGCCGCGTTAAGCGTACTGGCGACGGGTCACATAACCTTTGGGGATGGGGCGACAAGGATCATGATAAAGAGGAAATTAATGCAGCTATCAGAATCAACCCTAAAGACGAATGAATATGACCGTATATTATATTTTGGATAACATTTAAAACGTAAACAAACAGTGTATGTCAAAAAAATAAAAACTAAGCACAACTAAGTTCATAACATGCTCAATTGATTTGATACTTTTTTGTTTTAAATAGTTTTCTAATTCTAATTCCTAGTTAGCATGTTCCCAGTATATTTAAGGTATTCCAATATTTCTAAGCAGTAAAATTAAATTGTAGAAACCTTTTAAGCACCTATTGATGTTAGTTAGAATATAACTTAATTTATATTTGCGTATTCGTGTCTTTTGTTTTGCAAACTTCTAAACTCAACAAAATCATAATTATTGCAGACTTCCTTGCTGCAGTATTAGGAGATCTGAGAAAATATTGTTAAAAAGTTGTGCAAAATAATCGCCATTTTTAAGTATTTAACCTGCTTGCTACTGTGTAATCTTTCATTGTAGATCTTTGAATTTTTTCCTTACTTACGTTAAGTAGTTAAAGAAAAAACGTAGACAAAGTACAAGGACATTCAAAGGAACAAATATAATATAACATTAGCGCGTAAATGTACTAATGATACAGATGAATTTAAATTTAGTAAATTTTGTGAGTGTGTTAATGTGATAATTGTAACACATCAGTATTGTAAACCACATATTACGAAGTAAACACACGTTTAGGTACTAGTCTCATTGCATTTCTAGTAAATTAAGTACTAATTATGTTTTGTATCGAACTACAATCTAATTGTAGCACTGCAATCCTAGTAACTTACGATAAGTTTATTTATATGTGGTATATAAGAAATTTATTTATTGGTTTTACATACTTTGTATGCCCAGTTTAGCTATTGTAGAGCTTTTAAAGCATTTTATATTGTTCTTTTGTTATGGCAACGTGTGTCATACTCAATATGTACGAATATCGACTGATGTGTGAAGAGATTTGTGATATTTTAGATGGGTAACTAATTTAAGTATAGTAACGGAATGTGTCACTCTCCCTTATATGAACATAAAAAGCATAATTGTTAAACAATACTGCGTTTTAAATTGTTAGTTGTAGAGTGTAGTTTCTAGTGTTGTGTCTCAGATTCTGGAAATTTGGATACAATATAGGGTTCTTTTGGCGATTATTACATTCAACATTTAAAATATGTATTATTGTTTTATTATTCTTCCTTATACAACATTGAAAATACGATATCACAAAAATTATCATAATAATAGTAGCGTTTATTGCTATAATCTTTGATAGTTATCAAACATCTCAATGTTTATATTTTAACACGTTACACGAAGAAGAAAACCAATTAACATTTTGTGGACGAATGCAAAGCTATAGGCGGTAAATTTCGGATACATTTATTAATTAGAGACGGTTACCTTACGTATAATACTTTATGTAGCTAAGCATGCTAAATGTTCTCGAAATGTGATACTTTTACTATGATTATTCATATACAATAATAATAAATTATTCATTATATTTTCCTATAGTATTCTTGTGCAGTTTACGTTAAAATGACTAGAATGTCTATCTTAGGCTCAATTTATATTGCGGAAGAATGGAATGGAAGCAATTTTTTGTAACTATATTGTACATAGCATAATGAACTTTATGATAAATTGTATAACGTACAAACTAGATATGCCTGCTCGAGATGCTCGCAAATTCCGCGGAAGACTTTGGCTCGTATCTAGTCATTATAGAATTGATCATAAAGTTCCATTATGCTTTGTACAATATCGTTACAAAAATTCGCTTCCATTCCGTTCCGCCGCAATATAAATTGAGCCTTAGCAACAATATAATTTTGATGCTGTCATTGACGGTATTTAACTTTGAAACAATCAAAGTCCATCATGCGGACAGGCTCGTGTCACTCTGCGAGCGCATTTCACATCAAATAGTCTCTTCGTGCAAAAAATCTTGCTCATCACATTTGTCTGGGAGACACACGAAAAACTCAATCAAGTTCATTATAGGCCCTCTCGAAAACGGGTTTTGGTATCGACCCTTTTTATCTCTTAAATAAGGGTATCTCTTGTAGTTAAACATCTCATTTGTAGTCAAATTCATGCAAGCGTGTAGAATCTGTGAACAAAAATACTAGGTATAACGCAAGAAGTATGACTTTCACGTGTCCTACTAGTCAACATACCAACGGTACGAGATTGCTGTCGTTTGTCTAACCTACATATCCGAACAGAGAATCATATCATTAACGGCCTTCGAAATTAAGGTAACGGACTTCGATAAAAAAGAGTCGTTCGTTCCCACTACTGCCACCGGCAAGCACCACTGTACTAGTAATTAGGGCTTAATGGCTTAGCGTTTGTCCATTTTTATTCCCATTTCTATGCATTCAATCTTTGTCGTGTGTTGTCCACGGTATAATAATGACTATATGGTATTACAAGACTACATAGTTCGTGCCAAATTTATGTCGACTCATTACAATTGAGTTTACAAACTATGCCTGCCTTACTTTGTAACTAATTGTTTATTTACATAAATTATTTCATTTTTTTATTTATATTTAGGTACATACCTAACGGATTTGCGTTTGTTTTACATAGATCGGAATTTGTAAAGTGCTTTATAATTATAATTTCTATAATGTCGTATAAAACCAAAATCTGACAAAGAGAAGAGGGGAGAATAACTAAAAACCTCATTCCAGAGATCAGTCACGGTCCCTTTGACATGACAATCATTTGTGACGAGCACTGCCATGAAATTTGACACGTGTCGTGTTTAGTTTAGTACACATGCGAGTACGTCTGTGACCATCAATAATAATAATAATAATACGTCACTGCATCGACCTTCACTTGACACGGCACAGTTCATCTTTTGACCCATTCACTTTACAATATTAATTTGCGTTTTAAATTTATAATGGTATCAGAACTGTTGGTATACATTGGGTCATACATTGCGTTGAAATTATTTGTTCATAATCTCAGTACAGAGTACACTACTAAAAAAACCGAACTCAAAAGTCATTCATCCCTTAGTTTGCCACCCTTAGAGGTGGAATATTTTCTTCAAAGAAAACTGACTGAATGTTCCCAATTATTGGTTGACGGCCACTGATCTAAGAAAACAATTAATGGTTGTTCTTAAATTAAGCAAGTCAATATAGTCTTTAGAATCTTCAGGCGAAGCGATCACACGTGGCTCACGTTTACTTATTATAGCCCCATAAAACGACAAACAAAATTAGGTTAAACGAATAATCACAATCTTATGTCTTCTGCAAGTAGGTATAGTGCACATGTTTACCTCGACAGACATTATTTAACGTTTCTAAAATGAAACTATACTCACAGAAGTACAAGTTAAGATCCATCCTAGAGCGCAAAATGTGATTGCTTCCAATAATCCCAGTGCGTACAGTAGACCAAATCCTTCTAGCAGTAGACAGTAACAGGCGAAATAAATCGATATTGTGCAATTAATGGCCACGCTCATGACAAATAGGAAAAACCACATCCGGTTCCGGACTCCCACGCAGTTGTAGATGAATGGACAGTGGTGATCGAAGTATGCGACGCAGCGTCTGCAGATACGACAGTGCTTAGCCCTAGAAATTATAAGAATACTTTTAGCTAAATGTGTTATTTATATATAGCCCTCCCCAACTTCGGTAGGAGCGCATGGTAAGGTTTGTATAGCGGTACGGATTTGTATAGCGGTAGGAAGGCTACAGCTCGGCTGCGGCTTCGCAGGTTTTTTGAATTTAATTTCAAGGAATGGAAACAAATCCCCGTGTGAAGTCATGTTGAAAAAAATGGTTCCAAATTATGATTAAAAACTAATCAGATCGAAGCAAGCATTTTTCTGTCGCCGTTTGGAAAAAATACACAAGGGATTGATCATTACCCTCTCTATGTCATATCTTTGAACGTCCTGTTCTTATATCTAGTAGTTTACTTATGAGTAGAAGAATTTGTACTTATTTGTAAAGCAGCACATGTTTATTGAACTTTGAACATAAAATTTTGGTGTTCTTTATTTCCATTAACAAATTGCTCATGATTATCTCATAAAATTGCATTTATTAGGTAGATTTCCTCTCCAAGTGTTATGCATGAAGTATATACCTTTCGTTTGAGTATAAACTAGACTCGTCTCTCTAAAAATCTACTTTGACTATCTTGACTTGAAATCCATACAGCCAAGCAGATTTTATAGGTAAGGCGGTCATCTTGGATTCGACATAATTATTGTGAAATGATTAGACCAGGGATCAGTGTCTTTGACAATTTTTGTTTTAAGGGCCACATACTCATAACTAAAATCACTTTCGGCGAGTCAATAACAAGGCAGGCCAAGCAGAGAGAGAGAAGGGCAAGTGTCCTGCGGGTTTTGCCCCACGCAAGCTCGACCTTCGGCCTCGCCTTGTCCGCTCCAAACTCGCTCCATTCGGACCTTTAAGTTGGAATAATGTCTAAGTGCCCACGTAGGTTTGTATACATATATCTGTGTAATTTATGATAAATATCGAGGAACGACGTAAAACAAAAGATTATTACCTAATACATTTTTATAATTTAGGTGTAGGTTAAAAACTTATAAATCTACGAATACAGTTGTAGGAAGACACCCGATAAACAAAACCAAAGTCCTTACCTCAAAGGTCTCAAGCAGCGACAAGTATGACATAATCTAGAAAGTATTACGTTCCTTTTCTTCCATTTATCATAGTATGGAATTTGCCTTATGGCCCGGTAGTACGTCTCAGAGTTCTGAGGAATATATCCAGGATCTCGCCGATTAGCGATCAACCAACTTATCCACATTATGGCATTCCAGTACAGGAAACAGTAATGCGATAAACGAAGTGTATTCCATGTCAGCGGTATGCACTAAAAATACGAGTTCAAAATAAATCCACCCAGTTATATATCATTTTCATTGCGATTTCATTTGTTTCGAAGTATAGAGTTGTTCTTACCCTTATCACATACATGGGATATCCCCATAAAAGCACTGAAAAGAGGAAGAAAAGCAAAGGACCTTTGGACTCCCCTGCTCCTCCGAAAAGGAGAGCCCATAGTTCGGATAAAGGCGGCATCCAATGTGATTTCCGCTTCATTTCTTTTTGTAACAGTTTGACCACCTCCGCATGTCGATGACTTTGTGCCAGCATTAGCGGTGTTTTACCGTTTTTATCACGAGGCTCTAACTCGGCCTTTACCTAAAATATTCCAATAACTTTTATTAAGAAAATATTTCGATCTTTACGGGTGTTCTTATGAACTCCTATAATTTTGTAGGAATGTACTTAGCTTACATTGCGATCTATTTCCAAATACGAATGAATTAAATCTAATTGGTACTTTAATTCTAGAGGCTAGCAATTTTACGAAACTAAATTATTATGTCAAATTTGAAAAACAAGCACGCAAACTCTTAGCAACATTCATGGATACCTACGTAATTTAGAACTAGTTAACTTTACGAGATTTTGATTACTGTCATGTGTAAGTGCTTAATTACCTTTTCACATAGCAATCTGACACAAGTGAGATTGCCTGATAAACAGGCGAGGTGAAGGGGCGTCGATCCAAAATTATCAGTGCAATGCAAAGGCACTCCCGAATAAATCAGCAATCGAACTAGATCTGCATGGCCCTTGTATGCTGCCCAATGAAGAGCGGTATCTCCGTTTATATCTGAGAGCCTGGTAGCAGCTCCCATGCCTAAAAGATATGCCGCAGTTGCGGTTTTCCCGTACATGCACGCAGTCATTAGTGGCGTCAACCCTAGAAGTAAAATAACATGTGTAGGCTTTTTAAAAATGTGTTTAGATACATTTACATTTTACTCGATTTTACCTTTGAAATCAGCCGCGTTAACAGCGACTCCAGATTGCAGAAGAACTTGAACAACTGATGCATGGCCCTTGCGACAAGCCCAGTGAATGGGTCTCGGCCCCTACAAAAAAATAATTGCGGTAGATATAAAGATACTAAAGAAGAGTATTAATGATTTCAAAATTCGAAAAGGTTTTAACTGACTTATGTAAGTTGACTTAGCATTTCGAATATTAGTTGAAAGTACCTGGGTACCCAAACAGGATAGATCGTTAGGAGCTCCCCGTTCAACCAAATACCGCATAACCGCCACGCTGCCATCGAGCGCCGCCCAATGTGCAGGAGTGTATCCATGCTGATCGCGAGCACTCAACACCTCGACGCCCAATTTCTCCACCAGACGCTCAATTTCTGATACCTCACTGGAGATTGATAATTTTATGTTCATATGCACGAAGTCAGCTCAAAGAGGCCAAAGGAGGCAAAACTTCTAAGCTTGAAATGTTAATAATGACCGGTTTGAAATTTTATATTTATTGAATTTTAAAAAATACATGCTTTTTTAACAAACTCTCTTTCTTTGTGTGTCCTAGTGATATGATCTTATTGTTGTTATTAATTACATATTTATTAATTTGTTATTTCATTGTCTTTTCGTGTTGATGATGAACAATTAAGTACCTAGGTACATATATTAAAGAATTAAACGGTTTTGGTGAATGCTTTAAATTTACCTAGAATTATAAATTCTAGGTTTACTAATATATTTTATTCTCGAAGGAAATTCGCTAATGTTCCATTTAATATTTCTGTACGAGTTGAGCTTTTTTATTAAGTACTGTTCATTCAATAAAATAATAAAGAATAGGGAAATTTTATCACACTATTTTTTATACTTCTATTTAGTCTAAAATTATTATTTTCTCGGAAATTTGACTCCTTGCTGTTTGAACACTTTTTAGATCAATGCGGTTTTTTGGTAAAGTTTAATTTATTTGCTCTCTATTGTAATCTTATTTGGTAAATTAATGTACATACCCAAGTATCTAACTATGTTTAGTTTGCACGTTGCAAAACTGTACGTATTAATTATTGCGTCAAGGGATTATCACAATTTTCACAAGTATCTATTGTTATTACTTTTAATTTGATTCAAAGAGAAAGTTAACGCTTTGAGCATACTTCTCCTAGTTGTCACAGTTAACGTGGTTGATTGGTGGGATATTTTCAAACTGAAAATCAAATCATCTTTATTTCATAGGTAAGGAAATTACACTTGAAACCGTCATTATTGATAAAACTCTACTGCTTATTCGTATGGGAATCTGCCTCGTGAACGTATTCCAAAACTCTACTTAATGTCCTGACTTGAGCATTAAGTAGAGTTCTGGAATACTACCATTAGATTCCCATGACCAGGAAACTTTAGGGGTTGCTCTTTGTAAATATACATTTATCATTTACATTAGGTATTTTGTTTCAAACATCTTAGATTAAGAATAACTGCAGGTCATAAACAAGTCACTACCACGGATTTATTGTAATAAATAAATGTAAATAGTTAAAATTTTTGTTTCACTATAGTTTTAAGCCTCGTAAATGGCAAATTTTAAATATCAACCGAAATCTTATATATTATAGAAATGTTGCCTTCTAAATGAAGTTGTGACTTTGTGAAGACGATTGTCAAGAACTGCTAGTTTATTTTCATTCCTCGTATTAATGCCCTGGTACTATCTGTTACCTTGTCTGTTACTGTTTTTCATACAAAAAATACTAGTCTTCTTAACATACATTTTCATAAATGTATTGTGACGCTAGTGTAAGAATGTTAATATCTTTAAACTTATCTCTCAAAGACAGTCTGGGGCCCAGATTGTAAATTGTCCAAATCGCACATGTAAAGATCTATTACTATCGGGGGCTTTACCCCAAATCAAAATGTCGTATGTCATCAAACTGTGAAAGTACTTACATACCTGGTGTAAACCAATCTAGCGATTTCGGCGTCTGAAAGTTTTCGTATTTTTATTTATATGTGGGCCCCATTGCAATTTAGCGTCTAAAGTTATAAAGTTATACCTAGAAGTACAACTGTTACCACAAGGCTCATTTTTTCGTTTATAACTATAATGTTCGAAACCGTGTATCTGCTTAAAATGGGGCATTCAATATCCTGCATTGCAGGCCGCAGCGCAATGCAGGATTTTGAATGTAGTCACAGCGTGCAAGCTATCCTGCAATCCTGTAAATTCTGCAATGCGTCCTGCGAAACTTCATACTTGGGCCATATGCAGGATATTGTGTGAGCAGTCTCCTGCCTGCGCGGCGGACTGCCATGCAGGTAGTGAAAAGGCCGTTTAACATTGGGTAATGTAAATTTCACACAATTTGTTTTTTTCTCATTCATTATGTAGTTACACATTCATTATACCAGTTACATAATATTACATCAATAGTAATTCGACTTAATTAACATGAACATAAACTTGACTTAGTACTTACCTACGTTTTCATAACCGTAAATAAACTAGAATGCCCAACGACAATTTACAAAATTGGATAAAATTAGTAACATTATACTAAGTTATACGTATATAGAGCATCTCACGGCTATGGGACACTGAGGGAAAGTACTTTAAATTTATAGATATTTTGCTTTATGGAGATAATATTTTATGTTTAAAAGTACCTAAGTAGTATTGCATTAAAAACATTTTAAATAGTTGCCTGTCTCATCTGGGAATCGTACCGACCAAATATGAAAAAAAAATCCTGTATCTTATGTATACATGAGCGCCGCGCCGGCGCGCCGCCGCCGCCGACATATGCAATCGGCGCTCCGTTCAGTTCGATCAGGCGCTCCAATCACGCGCACGCTTCCGCATTGTGTATGTGAAAATGGCGACGTCAGAAAATGACTTTTCTAAAATAAAACTTTTTTTAAATAAAATGTAGGTCATCCTAAAGGTGGCAACAGTACTCCTTGCACGACCGGATTTGTGCTCAGTAGAGCTGAAGCAACTGTCCCTATCTACCGACCCAAGATGTCCCTATCTACCGACTCAAGGGATAGGGTTTTCCGAGAGAGAGACTACGGGCTCGACGGCAAGACCAGGCTACAGAGTCCGGGCCAAGCCCTACGTCAGTGATACGCCTTTGCTCGGGCGTCTCTGGCGGACCCGAACTTGAGTATGGACTCGCTGGGGTTTGTGGTTAGCTGCAGAGACGGATATGTTTGTCTGCCCCGGTTTTGCATGTGTCCGGGGCATCTGTCTCGTGAGCACCTAGCGCGTCTTAGTAGCGGGCTAGTTGAGAGACTGTATGCGAGGTGACGCGCGAAACACGTGAGTTGCCCTTTAAGTTGGGAGCTATGTCCGAACAATGTCGAAGGACACTGCGACTGGCATCTCCGACACTAGCCCGGAGAGCTAGTAGCTAGATATCATCGGGTCCCTCCACCCGCTTAGGTTATTGGGAACTGGAGAGACGTCGTTTTTTCGGCGTCGGGAAGTGAGCGTACCTTCCAGCTCCGCCACTAATAAGGACATTTGGTAGTGGACTCAGAGTCGACGGCTTAGCGGTGGCAACTGCTTGCCACCGCTAGTTGTGCAATGCGCAACGGGAAGTGAGCGTGCCTACAGCTCCGGTACCTATCTGAAAAATAAGGAGGGTACTGTACATGCACCCGGTGCGGCTCACCCAAGGCACTAGCCTCTCGAAGAATCGGATGAAATCAAGTGACAGAGGTCTGTGAGAACCCTGTACACTGGCTGATCTGGGATCAGAACAGGTTACAGTGTCCTTTTCGTATGCCGTAGGGTAGGTAGGGAGGGTCACTATAATCAAAACTAACGTAGAAAAATATAGTACTTGTCTCGGTGTGAAGTAACGCCTCACCCTGGAAAGGATCCCAAGCTTCCTTGCTGCACGTTTGGCCATGGATTCAATGTATCTGCCGAAGTACACACGACGACAGGTCCATTCCAAGTAGTAGTAAGAGACAGTCGACTATCGCTATGGATAGGTATATCACGAAAAGTCGGAGTCAGCTCAAAGAGACTCCGTTTTGTGGAGAATAGACACACCTGCGTTTTGGTAACGTTAAATTTGGCATCGCCCCAATCGGAGACTGCTTTGAGTGTCAAATCCAAACGGGTAACCATGGACTCTCGACAAGACTGGATTTCCTCTCCACTTGCCCTTGCATTGGTCAAGTACCTATCTACAACTGTGTTATCATCAGCATACGCAAAGGTACGGTAAGGTAAAGGTAAGGTAAGGTAAGGAATTAACATATCATTGATATGCCGCAGAAAGAGAGTTGCAGACAGTACGGAACCCTGAGCAATCTATCACATATGTTCGGAAGAGTAGCCTTCTAAGACCATTCGAAAGGAACGTTCGCTCAAGAAATCTCACATCCAATTGCAAAGGTCAGTGGGAAGCCCATAAGAGGGAAGCTTACTTAAAAGGTTTGCGTGCCAGACCCTGTCAAAGGCTTTTAAAGTAATTCTAGTCACCTGTTAGTTTAAACAAGTTTTTGTTTGTAGCTCTTAAAATATGTAGGCTATATGTTTCCTTAGGTGAAAAATTTGTTGTTAAAACCCAACTTCAGTACAGCTAGCACGACTGTGCACAACTTGCACGACTTTCGCGCAAGTCGCGCACTGTTCTGGCTGCCCTAGGGGAGAAGTAGTTTTATCTTACTATGAAGGAAAATTATTTCCCGAAATCTGAAATTAAAGTCCATAAGTAAATTAATTAATAAAAGTTATTGTAATACTGTGGTATTACCGTCGATATTGGTACTTTTAAAAAATCGGTACTATTATTTCATAGATAACATTGTAATATTTTTTTATTTTTGTTTAATTTTATTATTGTAGGTACCCACTTAAGGAATTAATTCCTTGCATATTTTGTACACGCGCATGCAAGATAGAGATAATAATTTGAACATTTGATAGGTTATTGCAAATACCGTAGGCATACATACATTGGCAGTTTCAGTTTGTTTCGTTTTGACCGTCGCGCCCTTTTTCCATAGGGGTACGCAGAGAGAACAGTCGTCCATTTTGTGGAATAATCCTGAAACAATCTTCGATCATCGATCGAAGTTTTTAATTGACCATTTCGATCGGTATTACAAAAATACACGTTTTATTTCACATTTGGTCGGGGCGGTTCTCAGATGAGGTAAGCAACTTTTAAAACTCTTTGAATGCAGTATTACTTACTTTTGAAAATTAAATATCTCCTTCAAGCTTACAATGTTTTAAATATTTTTTCTCCGTGATCCATAACCGTGTGACGCTCAGTATACATACCCAAAGTCTTCGATTGTAAAAAGAATTTACGTACCCTGACCGAACAGCTTCAAAAATAAGTTGGTAGTAATCGGAATGATCCGAATGCGGGTTCAAACTAGCAATCGTGCGAGGCGGCGCGGCCGAGGCATCAGGGGACATCGGGGAACACGGTGGCAGTGGCTCCTCAGCAGCCATTGTACAAGGGGGCGGCTGCGGCAGCGCCCACACGCCGCGCGCCGCCCCCGGACTCGGGTACACCTGCATGTTGAATACCTACTCCGTATCATACTGTTTATGTGCACAATTACCAGCTTACTTCGGCTCCAAATGATGGGTCTTCATACAGTTATTATGATCAATGTTTACGACGACTTGCATCACAGTACGCTGCTGCCCGTCATTTGTGTGTATTCCTGAGTCAGTCTCTAAATGTATACGTTAAGATATAAGGTGGCCACAGACATATAACATGTATGTGGGGGTGACCCAAGCTTACCAACCTAATTTGTCTCACTACTGAGCACACATCTTTTCAAAACATAGTGCGCTATCCACTACATTGTAATCCAAAATTACAGTGAACCATGTCTCGATAACGACGTAAGCCATGTATACGATAAGAATCGTTAAGCACGCGCGCATGCAACTGTTACAAAGTTCAGCTAGCTACACTAGGCCAGAGGGCATTAGCAAATGCATTGATATCAATCTGTTATTGAGGCAGGTCATAAAGGTCGTTGCACAAACGACTTAAGATTTCTGCTTTGTTTCGTGCATTATGAAATTGATTCCGTACAGATTTACATCTTATTGTAGAGAAAAATATTTAGATCCGTTAACCATTCACAAGTACCTACCTAGGTATCAACTAGAAAGTTGACGATGATGATCTACATACCAGCAAGTTATATTTTAAGTATTTTTGTTTGTTTTCAATTTAGGTATCATATAAAATTTACAACTAAACAAGTATTATATTATAATTTATAATATTACTACCTACTTCAATTCAATATAAACCCTTACCTTACTACTCACGGCGAGGCCGACGCCTCCCGTCACTGCAGAATTCTCCCCTTCCGCCACTTCACCCAAAAACGTAGACTTTACGACACAAAGTCTTATCCACTCTTCAGTTATTTTTGTTTCGTTGCAGCTAAATTCGGTGCTTTAGGCACATGCTCGATACAGGAGAAAGTGCTTACTGCAGCTCGCGTGAGAATCGCATGGATATTGATTCATTAGGAGCATGCGCATTGTGGAATTGCGGCTTTTCTTTACACATCCTATTGAGTACCGGCAAGGAACTAAAATATCGTCTGATCGGTACTTTTGAAATAAATGTATTACAGCAAAATGTAACGTTCAAATGGTCTTACTGGTTTAGGAGTTGATATTTCCAGTAAACTTAATAGATTACGAGCATTTCAAAACACTTATATACTTTCTTGATTGGAAATCTTAAATAACGGTTTTTTTTTCACTGCGAATTTTTACGGATTTTTAAGTTAAGAATTTTAAGGATTTCTATTTAATTGCGTGTTTACATGGTTTCGGAATTTTTAAAACGTGAAAATCTATGAGAACTCGCACATTTAACTAGGCTTTAATTAAATCTCCCTTCTAAGGCCAGACGTAAATACTTATTGTATTAATAAGTACAAATTATTTATGTCAAAATACATGGAGTTAAGAGTGGGCACACAAATTCCGTAAATGACTATAAGCTCGTCAACCGATTTAAAACACCAAGCAATGAACGTATGTAAAGTTTTTAAAATAATTTCGTTGAATTAATGGAAAAGTTAAAAATTAAGTAGTTGGTGTTCTATTTAGTTATAATCAAATAAAAAAAACAACTTGTTCGAAATATCCATATCATCACACTACTCATATAATTTTAAATAGAATATGTAGCGCCCTCTAGTGGTGCCTTTTTATAAAGAATTCGTGCTCAATATCAAACAAATGCCACATGATTCATTCATGATTATGGTTATACCCACCCAACACATAAATAATATTTATAAAAATTACAACAGGCATGTAGTGGAAAATGTGACTTTTCTAATGCATACCTACAATATTACATAATATACTGAAAGTTGGTAGTTCCCACAATTTTAACATGATTTAAAGTGTATGTATGTAGCTATAATGGTCATGCTGCTGTTATTATATAGAACAATACTGCTTGCTTTGCTTTGATTACCTGTCAATGTTGATTATTTAAACTAAAAGCAAGGTAGGTAAGTCAATATGGGGAAACTGAAAGAAACTGAAGAAAATTAAAACTAAACATGTAAAATTGTGAAAATGAACTTTAATTCAGCAAATTTTATACTAAATGTATAAATATGATATAATCTAGATTTCGTTTTCACTACCTAAATAGACATCATGTTATAAAAAGTGTACAACTAAAACTAGTATAGCTGATTAAACATCTCAATGTGGCTTATCAATTAGTAAGATCTTGTAAAAGCACATTTTTTTTAAATTGTTTATTATACTTAAATAATAGATAAAAATAATGAAAGCATTTAGCTTACAACTGATGACGTTGAACTTCTAAACAACAATCATCTTCAATACAATCTTTAACTTCTAGTAAACTTGAAACATTTAACGAGCAAACTGAATAAATTATTATCCATAATAAGAAACAAACTTAACAATGTTGATAGCTCAAAGTAATATATTTTCAACAAGTCATTTGGCAAACTTCCATTTGCCTTTAAGTGTATACAGATTCAGATTTGGGATTATTTTTGACATGAGTGAATTAATGTCAATCAATGATAAAAAGGTATTTTTTGTCTATTATTACTGTATCGATATTGTAAAGTTTATAAGTCTTTCATTAGGGCATTATCTCTTTTGCGTTTTGAAACTAACAGAGAGTGGTTGACCATGCAGAACATAGCCATTCAAAGCTTGTATTGCCATTGCTGCCTGGTCGTAATTTCGCATGGTTACAAATCCAAACCCTTTACTCTTATTAGTTTGGTGGTCTTTAATTATTTTAACAGAGACGATAGCACCATATGGACCAAATAGCTGCCATAGAGTCAACTCTTCCACCTCTGGGGCTATATTATATATATAAATAGACCATGTGCTCGGAGAATTGTGATCCCCAATAGCACCCATATGATTAATCCAATGATAAGGCCTCACCAGGGGATTTTTAGAAAAGTTATTGTTATTGTTTTTATGCTTATGAGGGTTACTCTTATTAGCATACTTAACAGTTAATGGATGTAAAAAACCAGGCGGTGTAGTGCCATTAATGCTCTGAATGGCTCTCTCCGCTTCATATGGATGCTCATATAACACAAATGCTATACCCGCGGCTATGCGAGAATTTACTATTTTACCGAATTGTGCGAACAGTTCGTGTAAATTCTGCAAGGTCAGTTCGTTGGGCAGATTACATACGTAGAGGTTCCAGTCGGCTTCCGGCTTGGTGGGCGGCTTCAGCTCGGGATTAAGGAGAGCGTGTGACACTTTCAGCGTCTTGTTTTGCATCAGAAGTCCGTTGAAAGCTTTTCGTGCCTTAGTAGCATCTTCTGGACAAGTGTACTCCACGAAGCCGTAGCCTCTGTTCGCTATCAGTTTACAACTCTCCAGTTTACCCATAGTCGAAAATAGTGAAAACATCATATCCTGGGTCATGACTTCGGGAATGTAATTGACGATAAGTTTGGTGGGTGATTCGTCGGGCCCATATTCGTTATTTCCATGACAATTACCGTCTTGACACGATTCCGACATTTTTTAATTGTTGTCGGTGAATGACATTTCGCCATAGTGTAAGATGTTCTTTTATTTCGTTCAAAAAAATTAAAAATAGACAATTCTACTCTATTGCAACTACTGTTGAGTATTGAGTAATTTTCCGAAACATTTCAAATAGTGGAAATTTTTCCGGAAAAATTCTCAATAAAATGGAAAATTTGAATCTCATAGTATGTTCTACTTGTAGTTCGTAACTTGTAGCTAAAAGCACTCGCTAAAAGCCACTTAAAGAGAAATGAGATTTAAAATGATTTCTCAAATGACAACAGCAAAAAAAACAATTTTATTTCCTCAATCGTTTTCGTTCAGTAACTTTAACTTTTGACAGGTGTCAATGTCAAATGTAAATAAAATATCCGGAAAAATGTTTTTTTCAAAATGGAACATTTTCCATGACCCATTACTAATTACTACTGAATGTACTGTTTCACTGGTGAGCCACGATCGTTGACATACCAAAAATGGGCAGTCGAATCTCGGATCGAATATGTTAGAATTTTATTCAAGCTATTTATTATTATGCTCTTCGGTGGCACAGCGGTTAATACCTACTATGGGCGCGTGATGACGAAGTTCCGGGTTCTATTCCCGATTTGGGCCAATTTGGGAAACGAACATTTCTATGTTGGTTTTGGTCTGGATATTGCCTTCGGGGGTTATTCATAGTATACGAAATTCCTTAATTTGAGACCAGAAGTTTGGTGTGATTGTCTTGCATTTTTTTCTCTAAAATGCTTATCTTTGGCATAATTTCCAAAAAAAAGGAAACAGAGACGATCAGATACAACAACACTTTAAGTATCTCCTTTCCACTTCATCGGGAAGTATGCTTCACATTTTTAACAATATGTTAAAAATCATGTGATCTTGTACATACTCGTAATATTCTCCGTATACTATCTACGTACGGTGGCGTGAGGAGTACGGCCTTGGCAGCTATGACTTTGTTTTTAATAATATAATCTCAGTACAGAGTACTAAAAAAACCGACCTCAAAAGTACGTGCAATTACGTCTATTTGCCAAGTTTCATTGAAATATTCGCCACTATACAGGACTTGATACTGGAGATAATAAAAATAGGTTCTCACAACGGCACTACTCAAAGTATATCGAGAGAACGTCTTGAATTGGAGAAATAGCAAAATCAACTAAATAATTGCTAAAAGTAATTGCTCCTAAATTAAAGTTAGGCGCTATTTATAAAAATGAATCTTCATGCGTAAACAGCTACACTGTGAGGTGGATGATTTTCTTCAAAATGAAATGGGACCACTATGGAAATACCACCTTTCCAACAAAAAAGAATCATGAAAATCGGTTCACAAATACCGGAGTTATCGCGTAACATAATATACAAAAAAAAAAGAATATACAGTCGAATTGAGAACCTCTTCCTTTTTTGAAGTCGGTTAAAAATGAAAATAGCTCTTTAATGGCGGCCATGTTTAAAAATTGCAAAACATATATTTTGACCACAAATTATTGTCAGGCAATCGTAGAGCAAGTTTTTCCAACAGCTAATTATATCGAAAAACGGCGGAAACAAAATGTTTAATTCAAATTATGACTGAAGCTACGCCATTTTCAATTGGATTAGAGCAAATTTTTTATCTACCACTAAAAAAGTTTGTACTTATTTAGAATAATGAAGCAATAGCAGCCATATTGAAAATTTCGGAAAAATAAATTTTGACAGCAAATTATTATTAAACACCCAGCCGTATTATATGCCAGCTATTTTTAAAAATGACCAAAAAAACGCCATTTTTAATTAGCCATCTTGAACTGTTTTTTAAACAGAGGCAGGTTAGGTGCCCTCTGTGACATTCATTCGAGCACCTTGTACCTATCTCTCAAAATATCCGTTATAGAAATCTTTGAATGTGTATGGCGCCCATCTTGTTTATTTGAATCTCGAAATTTTTTTAGTTCCGGCGGAAATTCCTAGTGTGTACATAAAAGTGCACAAACGTTCCCTCCATATATTATAGTTTTTGTAGGCCATTGATCTCACTTTTATATTTTCCACATTCAGGTAATCTCGTAGTTTTCCCTTTGCTTACCAACATATCGGGAAGTATGCGTTCCATTTCTATCAGTGAGCCGCGACTTGGTAGCTATAAATATTGTATTTCGTGCAGGTAAATGTTTTGTGCTTATTTCGGCGTTTGCACATTTTTACTTAAGAGTAAAGTCAACACGGTTAACATTATACTTTAGAATGTCTTAAACATAAATTAAGATCTCAGACTTTCCATTTAAATTATTTATTTTTTATAACAACAAGTGACGGGATGAACAAGCGAGTCGTGCGCCTGAACGTAAGCTACACGCCTGTCCTTAACAGTTACAGTGCTATTTAGAGCTTTAAATTGCAAAGATCTGAGGGGCACTACCACTGCGCTTGCCACTCTGAGACATAAGTTGACAAGCCCATGTGCCTGTAATTTCACCAGCGCCCTTACCCTTCAAAACCGGAACACAGTAATGCTGGCATTACTGCCTGACGGTGGCAGTACTACCCTGGACAAACTCTTTACAACTATACTGCTACTAAATTAATGTAAAGGAGGCATGTACTTGTTTCTGTAGGTACTTGCAAAAACATAACGTATGAAATTTATGTTAACACTTTCTAATAAAGTGGAATGTCCAGCGTGTTGACTTTACTCTCAAACAAACAATAACATAAACATTTAATGTTTATACCGCGGGGAGTTTCCATAATAAACGTTCTTCTTCGTATTGACGGGTAACATCATGTCCAAGTGTCCAAGCAGTCGTACGTGATACATAGAACTGTGTCCTGTATATTCGTTGATATAGCTTTTTTTTTATAACGATTACAAAGAAAGGACAAAGATATTTACGTTAAATCAGTCATTTAAACATTTGTCAAAAGGCAAGAACTAACGTTAGGGAGACGGAGGCACCTTTGAACAGAGGCAGCTTAGAAGAAATGCGTTCATTTGAATGATGCAGTCAGTTTGAATGAAAATGTAGTAAAAATTATGTTTGTATTATGTTACCAACAGGCTTAGCATGAGCCCGAAGACAAAAGTTATCTCTTCTTCTAATTTTGTCTCGAAAATTTCGATTAAATTGACAGTTCGAAGAAGAGATAACTTTTGTCTTCAGGCTCATGCTAAGCCTGCAGCACCACCGAGTCCCACACCTGTCAGTGGCAACCGTCAGTGTGAGCGCGCCAAGAATCGAATGAGAGGTTCGTGTTAAGTTTCAGCGTCGAAAAGTAAATATTCTCAAAAATAGTTATAGGAATATTAGTGGTAGATTAGTGGTAGATTAATGGTAAGATAATGGTGAATTGAACTTTGCTTGTCGTATGGATTGTTTCATTGCTAAAATATTAAACCTACAGCTTGCAATCATTGGGTGTTTTTACGCATGAAAAATATTTGTTATTTTGTACCCATTGGGGTAGATTTGAACAAACCAAAGGGGGCAGCTTTGAACACGTTTAGAGATTCTGATTTGCTTATTCTGCTAACATTTTTAAGAAGAGGTTTTGTTTATTTTTGTTTTAGTATTTTTATATTCGTTTTCTACTATTCCTATGATTTTATAATTAATTACTTATGAGGAAGTCAAGTTTTTAATTATTTTTTATATTGCAGTTAATAATTTAAACTTGAAAGAGTTTCGGTTCCGTCCATACTTTTTTGCAATAGTCCTGTGATTATAAATTTAATTAAACAGATTGAAGAAATATTGTGTAAAAGGTTTTTGGTAACAGATTTAATAAAAATTATTTGCAATAAACAAGCAATTTTCATTTAAATTGATGAATTCGAAGGTTTAAAGGGTTTAAACAAAGTTCCTTCACAAAAATGGGAATTCTGACAGTATTATAAACTTTTTCATCGTGTTTATTAAAAATGATTATAGCCAAACAATAGGTCTAACTACTGCAGCAAAAAAACAAGTAAATAATAATGATTTAGGATTTTACAAGCGGATTTATAAAAAATGTTCAATGGTGCCTTCTTCTCACCTACTTTATTTTTCAGCATATAGCTCCAGAAACATACAAATATACTTATAATAATACATACAAATATTCGCGTTCAATCTTATTTGTAATGTATTTTTTTATTTCGCGTACCTAATAAACGCGCGTATTTAAAAATATTGTTGTTCCGTTAAATTAGTGTGTAGTGTGTAGATAGGAAGGACACAACATTGTTATGGTTCGACCTTAATGTAAAGAGGACAAGTTCATTTATACTTTTGTGTTGATAATTGAACGTGTACTTTTTCATTGCTTTTGATTTGAAACTTAAGCTCAAAACTCTCAAAACTACTCAAAAATCTACGTTTTGAATACTTTTTGGTTTGTTTGATAATGCAGATAATATAATTCTGTATACTCGACTTACTCTGTCCTAACATACATTCTACTGTTAAAAGTGGTTAGTTATGAAAATACTACGCCAAATTTCTGAGACCACACACATTTATTGCACTTTATCAAGCGTCAGGTATAATTACAATAAATGAATATATTTTTTTTCATTTATGCGTAGTCGTTACGTTCAGGCAATCAAAGAAGTACATTATATACACAATTTAAACAACATAATACGCAAAATTTTAAGCGCTAGTTATGGTATAAGTTATAATACATTTTTATATAAATTTAGTTTAAGAGTAAGATTTTTCAATGTTGTATTAATATTTATGTACCTATAATAACCATTTTGACTATATGTGTACTTCAATATGTATGGGGTTTATATTTCTGACACCGAAATCGATTTCGTAAACATAATATTATTAACAAAACATGATTATTATAATTATTCGATATCGTATAATGTTTAAAATATGCTTGAGATTTAAGTTGGATGAGATCTATTACTTAGTTGATTAATTTCAGGGCCGATTTCGTTGCACATAAATCGAAACTTCTATTCCACCTAGTTGTCAATTGATTTCTTTTATACGATACAAAATGCAACCGAATAAATCGAATTTGTACGATATAGATCGGTTTACAAAAACTTACGAAGCAATAAAATCGATATCAAATTCGTGAGTCAAGAGTACAATAGAAAAATAGTTTTATTTGAAGTTATAATAATCATAAACATTGTTTTAGGATACATCTACAAATCTACAATTAACGATATAGCAAAAAATATATTTTTCAAAATGAAATTAATTATATAATAATAGGTATACAGTTAAAATCACATTAATAATCACATAAGCAAAAAATACCAACAGGTACAAAATATTCATTTTCCTACACGGGAATGTAATAAATGATAACTGCAATTAAAATACTGAAATAAAGTCTCAGATCACAAATTCGAGCTGAAAAAGAACGGCTACAGGTCAAATTTACTCTCGGTGAAGCTCGACCATGAAGATGAGCCTTAATGCTGTTGCAAAGTCTTGTACACTTACATGTTTCTTATAGGTATTAAAGCAAAACAAATCATAGACATTATTTAATACTAAACGCATCTTAAAATATGTAGGGAATAACTTGATCGCAATATAATTATATTTTTTACAACAATACCATGTATTTCAGCTAACTTAAACTAAAACAAGCTTTAGAAAGCTGATTAGCAGTAAATATTTAACAAAAAAACGTTTAACAATTACTACATACAATTATTGTCATGATTAGGTATATTAAAATAGTATTCAAAATCTTTGGTTTCTTTTCCAATTCGTCTATACTTTTTAAGTTATTAGGCTATTTTTATATATTTTCTGTGGGGTTTATTATATTTTCTATACTGGCGTAGGTACCGAAAACGAAGCCAGTAACCCCGAAAATTATTATGAAAATGTCTTTCCATAGTTTCCAATCGTGTTTGCCTAGCTTATCAGGCCAGAACGTGATTATCTCAATGGCCGGTGGAAAAATAAGTGCGAGTGCCGAGCTGCTGAATGCACCCACAAGCGAAATTATACCACTCAAGTTTGGTATGAGCGCTGCCGCCGTAACTGTAGGACAGATGACGCATTATATAATTATAGATAACAATTACCGTATATGTTTAGATAAACAAATGTTTAGCTAACCAATAATTAGTGCAAAGAACAAACTGGAAGTTTTAAGGGCAGTATATCTAAGGTGAATGATTAAAATATATATTTATGATAGATAGGTTATTTATGTTTGCTGATAACACGTCTCTTTAGAAAACGCTTTCAACAAACATGTGTGCATAAATGAGGTCAGAAATAAAGATATAAGAGGTCGATTTGGAAATTAGGTACCAGAGCAAATACTACAGAGATAGATTAAACAATTATAAGATATTGCACTTACAAGTAATGGAAACGAGCACAAACCGTGTTACGGTTTCGCCGTGTTTAAGTGCCCATTCAGATGTTAATTTTGACTTTACGTAAGGCCACACGATGTTCATAGGTACATAAAATTGAAGTCCATACGACAAGAATATAGCTGCTGCCATCATTGTACGGACACTTTGAGCAAGGCTGAAATATATACAAAATGAAGGTCAATGTTATGGTAATACACAAATAATGAAATAATACAAAGTAATAAATGGCAACTCACAAATCGTTAGGCAAATTTAATGTAATACTTCCATGTACATCATCACCATATTTTAAGAAGCCAAAAAAACCTATGGCTGTATACAGAGCAGCTACTATCACCATCCCCGTATTAAGAACACCAGTACAGCCTCCAAAGTCGTCAGGGGTTTTCATGTTATTTTCAAGTGGCAAAACCTGAAAGTGGAAATATACAACCATTAAAAATAGTTAAGACAGTTTATGGGAAAAATAAGTTAAAGTCGATGACAAATTTTTGAATAATAATTAAACTCACCACTCCTATTCCTTCAAATGCATAAATAGCTGTGCCAAAATACAGAGGCAATTGCTGCCAACTTGCAAACGCTTTGACTGAATCTGTACGAGGGAGATCTTGCAAGATGTAATAAAATGTAACCACTAGCCCCCAAGCTGTCATTACAGATGCCACTAGAGAAACCGGTGTTAAATATTTTAAGTTTTTTAACATAGCTAGCGCAAACATTGCTGGGAATAGCAAAGCTAAATAACTATAGACCCCAATATGTGTCTCGCGATATAAGGGAATCGTCTCTTGAAGGTTAGTTGCCACAAACAAAAAGTATACACAGCAAAATCCCAATTGTGTTATTACCAGGAAAACATTGACTATACTCCTGAAACAACAAATAATTGTATATTACATAAGCACAAGACATTATAATATAAAAAAAAACAATATCCTTGGATATCGTGCATACATGCGAAAAATGACGCAGCACACATACACCATAATTAATTATGTGCCATGAATCCTTCCCTACTGTTCCCGAATATTGTTCACTGATCATTTTCTGTTGTGAAGCCGTGTTCAAAGGATTCAATGATGGATGGATCAAAGGATGGTTCAATGATGATCGATATTAACAACTTAAAATGTAATTACAGTTTAAATTAAACTAATTAATAAATTTAATTTCAAAATAATATGGGTGTATACTTCACCCACAGACATTAATTAAGGGCGCCTTCAAATTAAATGCTTGTAGAAGGCTGCAGTGGCGCGTCTGTGGCGTTGCACCCACTACTAATTTTCATAAAATAATTAGAAGTGCAGCTGCAACGCCACAGTCGCGCCACTTTGGTACACTAGATATTGCATGAAAATTAGTAGTGGTACGACTGCAGCGCCACAGATGGGACATAGGCGAGACACTATAGCGCTTCTACAAGCGTAAAGCTGTAGAAATAGAGCTCCTTGTGAAAGAGTTCGTCCAGGGAAGTATTGAATATTAGTACACTTTACCTATTTCGAGCGCCAAGCAGTAATGTCAACGTTACTGCGTTTCGATTTCGAAGGGTTAGGGTGCTGGTAAAATTACAGGCCCCATGTGCACTTGTCAACTTGTCTCAGGGTGACGGGCGCAGTGAGAGTGCCCCTCAGATCTTAGCGATTTAAAGCTCCGAGTGGTACTGTAACTGTTACGGACAGGCATGTCGCTTTCTACCAGACGCACGTGACACAAAGAAAAACGTCTAATTTGAAGGCGCGCTTATACCATAGATATAGGGAAATCTAGAACCTTAAATGACCTCAAAGAATAAATTAGATACGCAATTGATAATTATCTGCTAAATTTGTGTACAGAAAATTCAGCTTTCTTTCAGATGAGATCATAATTCGAAACTACCTCGGTGGCCGAACGGTTACCATGCCGAACTGCTATGCAGAGGTTCCAGGTTCGATTCCTGGGCCTGGAGAAATATTTGTACGGCCTACATTTATTTCTCTCGTGAATTTGTGGTTGTCTATGAGCGTGCGTGCGTGCGTGCGTGCGGGTGTGTGTGCGTGTGCGTGTGCGTGCGGGTGTGTGTGTGTGTGTGTGTGTGTGTGTGTGTGTGTGTGTGTGTGTGTCCGTCCGTCCGTGTCCATGGCACCCGCGATCCAGGGTTCCCTAGTGCGGGGCTATGTTGAGTGTGTGCGTCATTGTTACTGTATTGTTATTGATGGTAAAATATTCGAAGACAATAATTATAGTCTTATTATGACAGCATACATACAGACCGCAATTATATTATAATTATAGATTTGTAGTACATACTGTGTACATTACGAAACTATTGTTATCTATCTAATTAAATACTGCCATATTATTTTTTAATTGAAAATTAAGAAGTGTATAATTATAATAACACTTACTCAGAACATTCAAACAATAAAATAATTTGCCATGGATCATCAATATATGTATAATTCACACTAAAGAAGCTAAGATGGAAGTTGTGCTAGGCTGATAAGTATGTATCTTATTATTTGTTTGTCTATCTAGAATAGAAGGTTTCCATTTCGTGATTTGGGTCAGTCGACCAAATTAGAGGTTGGAAAGTTAATTACCTATTCTGTTTTGATTTGATTACAAGCTGATACATATATTTCTTATAAAAAATTATAATGGCACGAAATTAAAGTAAAACATAAGATAACAAAATGGTATACAAATAACCATTTGTTAAAATCCAAAAATATAGTACTATTTAATATTTGAAGCCTTAAACAAATACAGAGTTGTGGTTTAATAGCCCATTCCCATTAAATTATCCAACAAACATTGTCAACGTTATTATACATAAAATAACTTTTAACAGGGGAAAGCGCTAGAAATATTTTTTTCATAAAATAAACTTTAAGCAACTGATGAATAAGAACGAAGAAAACGTTACGATTTGAAGCTAATTTTAAACTCGTTTTTGCTTTCAAATTTTTACAGATTATGTAAAAGCAGTCCTTTTATGCTATGACATAATAATATATAAACGTAGAAGTATAGTAAGGGCCAGCGCAAAGGGAGACCATCAAACTTATGCTCACCACTACACAGTGATGAGGAATATCTCTTTTGATGAAATTTGTACCTTATTGCAATAGAAAGAGCATAAAATGTACCTTGATAAATTTTATATCCTCTGGATTTCTGTTCATCAGTTTGCGCTGGGCCTAACTGTAAGCTAGGGAATTTTCCTTGTTTAGATATTAAGGGTAAAGTTTGAGATGTTATTTAATAGTAATCTTACTTCATTTTCTTAGCATAAGGTCGTAAAGACACTGGTCCTGTAGCAAAGGCATCCTCTACTACCTCAGAGAAACTGAGTGCTGGTCTTTGGTTCCTAATGCACAGCTCGTGCGAGCACTTTACCAGTATGTGCATACAATGTGTGCACAGTACTCCTATGAATAATGTGCAGAAAACACCTGTAATATGACATATGTATTGTATATTTTTTCATTAAATTATGATAGTGTTGAGCTACACACAATTGGTATAATATTGATTATTCCACATATTATGTATTATGTACACATGGATATAAATAATGAATTACTTTCGACTTTTTAGTGACAAAGCCTAAATTTACTACGCTAATTTATATGGAAAGACTACAGAAAATAGATATTAACATAAAAACATTAAGAATCTTGATGTAAATAGTCTGTTAATTACAATATAGATTTTACTGTTTCGGTGACAAATAAATATGTATAGATTTTAGAAAATACACCTCGAAGGTAAAGAGAAAAAACTTTCCATTAACTTACCAAATAGTAGACCAGCGTTTTTAAAAGCATCTGGCATAGCCAGAATACCTGTCCCAATATTGCCCTTTAGCAGATGGATTAAGGTATCGAAATTCGATGTTGGGTGTTCTAAACATCTTTCCGAAGCTGGGTGGTATTCACTTTTATTATCTTCTGATGGTATTGGAAGGTCTGTTACTAATTCCACTGCTTGAATTTCATTATTTTCTGTAGGAGTAGGCGGCCCTGTGAGAAGCGGTTGCTTTTCATCGCTCATTATTAATGAAATATGCTCTCAATTAAGTATACAAAAATCCATACGTCTTATCGGCATTAAATCGAAAACAATACTTAGCGATACTTAGCATTGGAAAAAAATAAAAGACTTCAGTCAGTCATAAAATCACGCCCAAATTAAAATGTCATTTTTAATCAATAGCATTTCTTGTCTCATTTTATTAGACCTTTACACAAATAAGTAAAAAAGAGACAGACAATAATCCAAAAATGAAGAACCTTCTACACTAGACCTGAGTCGATCTATCACACGTTGATTGTTTCTGATAAGTGATAATACGGGTCGATCACGTCAATCATCGATCGATACGCATCGATCATGAGAAACATGATCCATGCGTAATGTGATTAACGATTAACTCCCACCACGAGTCAACTCGAGCAATTTTTTTTATGAACTCGAGCTAACTCGGTTCGGTACCCGCCCCGCGCCGTTAGAAAACTTCGGCGAATCGTCGTCGGGCTAGAGTTCTATTCGCGACCGGCGAGAGCTAGTCGAGTCGGCAATCAAGTCAACTCGAGTAACTCGAATTGAAACCACAGACTTATAAATTGAAGATTCCGTTCATAAGGTCCTTCCATTTATACTTAGGGTCGTATTCCAGAACTCTACTCAATGCTCAAGTCAGGATTGCAATTGAAACACAAGCACTGGAAATACGACCCTAATGGCAGGGACTTGAGTATGATTTCGAATGCTTTAAACCATACTCAAATCCTGACTTGAGCATTGAGTAGAGTTCTAGAATACGAGCCTTAGAGTCGTATTCTAGAACTCGACTCAATGCTCAAGTCAGGATTGCACTGGAAACACAAGTACTGGAAATACGACCCTAATGGTATGGACTTGAGTATGATTTCGAGTGCTTTAAACCATACTCAAATCCTGACTTGAGCGTTGAGTAGAGTTCTAGAATACGGCCCTTAGACTATCTTTTATTTTTTTCCATCCTCTAAGCATTTATAAGTCTGTGGTTGAAACAAATACTATCGCTAAATGTGATCATTCGATAATAATGTTCGATCCTTTAGCGGGTCACTCGTCGCCCACGACACTTCCATATTATGGCGTTTAAAAGTGTCAAACTATACAAATTACCTTTTATTCTTTCCTGCTGGTAGGTAATGTGTACAAAGTTAAAAGCATCATTAATAAAAACACATAGTCTAAGCCTGTCACTTGGTATTATAAAAAAAATTGCCAGTTCCAGATTGAATGATAAGTGACAGCAATTCACTTAAATAATAATAAATAAATCATTTATTTTGGCATCCAAGACCCATTTGTTAGTAAAATACAGACATTTTTAAACTTATGACTATTGTTAGTAAGCACAGAGACAAAACATAAAAACACACATTATTACGCTCGAGTCACCGCCGATTACCCCTCAGCCGATCACCTCACCAGAACCGGAACAAAACTTAGCACTCAATCAACTTATCTCTAAAATAATAAATAGCCCGTAAAGTCGAATGTTGCGCACATGACCCACGAAACTCTTAAAGGATCCGGTTATTTAGAAGCTCGTCGTAACCCGAGTTATCGGGTCACAGGTTCTGTTCGAATCATTTTAATTCGATCGACACATGTCTATTCTACACGATTTGCCGAAACGCTTAAGAATGCTAGACGCTAGACGAAACGTATTGATAATAACTTTTTAGTCTATGATACTGCCGAGTAATTTTTCGAAAAATTTCAAATAGTGGAAATTTTTCCGGAACATTTTCTGACATATTTGAAGTATTATAATTCGAAGGCTCCTATTATATTGTACATTTAGAAAAATATATTTTGAAGTTCTATTTATGGTGAATTATAAAATAAACTTATATAGCTAAAAGCCACATAGAGAAAAACGAGATGATTTCATAACAGCGAAAAAAACTTGTTTAATGGCGACATCGTTTTTCTTCAGTAACTTCAACATTTGACAAGTGTCAACGTCAAATGTGGAAAAGTGTTGAAAAATATCCAGAAAAATATGATTTTTTCTAAGTGGAAATTTTTGACGACCCAACACTATCCATGGAATTTAAGGCCCGAAATGTTGGTTTGTTTGAAAAAACAAAATATGCAATTTAGATCAGAAAAAATAGTTTCATTTCTTAAATGCCAACCGTCAAATTTCGAAAAATACAAGAAAAGTTTGAATTTTCAAAATGCAAATTCCATGACTTAGCACTAGTCTATGATATAAAAAGTAAATTGTCAACCGTGTGATGTGACATTCAATCAATTTGCTCATAGCCAACCTTCAAAAAATGAGTGAAGTGACATGGTGTGATAGGAATTGTGTATAAAATTTTAAAAAGCAAGTGAAATAATGGGAAATGCGGGAAGCAATCAACCTAAAGAATGGCACAGAGATACTGCTACAAAGACACCGGACGTCGGTCCTTCTTCACCAATAAAGGAAGGTGAAGCGTTTACTTTCGACAAGAGGAACGATGACCGTGGTGGTCGCGATGAAGATAGTAATATCGAAGACGGAGCGCCGTATTATACAAAAGCGGTACCTGAAAGTGATGTGGAGTATACTGGTCCACGGGAGAGGTCAAATACTTTGACAGAGAGTAATAAAAATAACGTTGACGAATGTAAAGTGTTGCCTACAGTATTCAAATGGGAAGGAGGTGGCAAACAGGTAGTAAATTGCGCATTAACGAATTGCTATTCCTTAGGGTTGAAATGGAATCATTATAAATTATTTTAGTCCGTGTGTACCTAGAAATGACAAAACAAAAATAAATCACAATATCATTGTAAGAAATATCTCCAAAATTTGGAAAAGTATATTAAGAATTTCTCGGAAAATTAATTATTTTTTGTGTCAGGTGTACATCAGTGGAACATTTACTGACTGGAAAACAATACCAATGGTGAAGTCTCATGGAGACTTTGTGACTATTATTGACTTGCCAGAAGGGGAGCATCAGTTTAAGTACTTTGTTGATGGGGAGTGGCGCCACGATCCTGCAATGGTAAGATGTCTACCTCTTTCAGTAATCATGAACTGGATATACTTATTTACCCATTGTTAATTAAGGCCCACATACCCGGCCTTAATTATGTGCTTTAAATGACTTCTAACAACCTTCACTAATTGATTGCCTTAGTTTAATTTTGTCTTTGACTGCATGCTATTTTATGAAATAGATCATTTTTGTTCTATAAAGCTTGGAAAATTTGTTCTAGTTTCCTACTATGTTCAGGTACTGAGTAGTTATTTTGAAATGGTCAAAATAATACTTTGTAGGTAATATAATATTGTATTAGATAATTTAGTCAGTAACCTAATAAAGTGCAGTCAACAGCACATCAAGCTACATATTGATGTATCTTGTGTAGTCTGATGTACTGTTGTCTGTACTTACCTAACTTTATAGAAGATTTAATAAATTTTATTAATTTGTTTTTTCAGAAAGTAATAGACAATGGAATGGGCTCGAAGAATAATTTGGTGACAGTGAAAATGTCTGATTTTGAAGTGTTTCAAGCTTTAGCCAAAGATAGTGAAGGAGTCAGTAGTAGTGCTCAGACAGAGTATTCACAGGTAAAAATTTTTTTTTTGTATTTGGCCTCTGTCCCACTGAGGACAATTCTGCCAGTGTCCGGGTTGAAAGATACACAGTATATTTATCAAGATTAGCAGGAACGCACTTGAACAACAATGATTGGATGCACCATCCTACAGACAAAGACAAAACACGAGGTTATTTGACTACCTACTTTGTATAAAAAGCGTAAACACATGCTGTGCAGTGCACGTAGTAACTGTTATAATCATATGTTTAAAAATATCCTTCAAAGCTCTATTTATAGAAGTAGCTAGGTATTTGAAATTACATGTGGGCCATTCCAAAGTGACAGGTGGGACATTTTTACTCCTTTTTTCTTGAACTTTATGTAATTTCTACCTAACCATTGGTTAATTAGACTTAAAATGAAAATATCATGAAGCCAGATATGCAATTCAACTGCGACTATTTATTTACATAAATTTATGATATTATTTCTACTCAAACCTTTTAATTTTCTAAGGTGGGACACTCACGACACCCGCCTGTTTGAGTTGATGGCTTCATTGCCAAGATCGAGACAAACAATTAATATTTTGTTCAGCAAGTTTTTCACACGAGATATACTTGAATGTTAAAGTTCTAATTTATATATACACTTAATTAATAACTTTGATAAATTTTAAGGAAATTAATATGTTAAGTTGTGACGGATGGGACATGATTTTGTGACAGGTGAGTTACAATTGAATACTTGGTACTTGGTGTAACGGGCTGGTGTCCGCAACTCGATGACAAGGCGCCTATTTTGCGTGTGGTACAATTGAATACACAGAATTAATTAAATTACACTGTTTAATATGAGATCCATTATTAGTAAGCAAATAATTTATAATATTTGTCTTATTAAGACATTTTAGCGTAAAAAAACAGAATTAAAGAACTGATAAAGTAGTCCTATTATATTTCTTGAAGCACTATCTATGACGACATGAAATCAAAACCACGCATGTAAAATGCGTTAATAAATTTGAAAAATCCTGCCGCATCCTTGAAGATTATGTATCATATCAAAATGTATCGAATTTTAGAAGTTTTGCTCGAATATATAGTTAAACCTAGTGAAGACAGACTTTTCATGAATTTCCTGATACTAAAAACCATCAGAAAAAATTATCACTTTTTATTTGTATTTTTTTATGTGTTATAATGTCTTAGTTATGAGAAGAATTATAAAAAATTTGCTTACAAATGATAGATCTAACATAGCAGTGTATTATTTAAAATTCTATGTATTCAAATGTAACTTGTCCCACCTGTCACAAAATGGTATCCCAATCGTCAGAATTTAATACATCAAATGTTAAACTCCGAAATTAAAGGAACTGTTACATCTAGTAAACATCGTAAAAACTCGAATTTATGAAAATACAAACATTTATTCAAAGTAAAATCGTTTAGAAGTGTGTCCCACCCATCGCTGGGACAGGTGGGACACACTTTCAGATCTTAATATTTATTTTCCTATTCACGTGCGCAATGACCGACCAAGCCAAAATAATGACCCTTAGCATAATTATTACTTTTACAAAAGCAAATGCCAATAGATTGCATATTTATTGGTTAAAATAAAAATATATATGTTTCATTGCGACGGGTGGGACTTTAAATTAGTATTTATTGACACTTAACTCCTCACCATATATACTTCCATGCAATCACTTATCACTGTTTTAAAATTCATAAATTGTGTTTTCTTCGACAGTAATAACTTTTTTAGAAAGACAGACTTTTTTAGAAAATTGTTGTTAACATTATAAGAAAAAATGCTTCACTATAGGCGACAGCACTATGCTGCGTTAATGAAGACAAAAAATACATTGTACAATATGCGAAAAATCTCATTTATTTCTAATGATTTCATTTATTGGACGTATTATAGTCATACAATTAAAACCAAATTGTGTAATTTATTTTTTTGAACCGCGATGCCATTTTCGCTGGAGTGACCCATGCCCAACTTTATCATTTCTTAGTTAACAATTATATTCATTACATATTTATCAGCAATACAAATTGAAAATTCGAGAACCCTTGTCTGCTATATTACATCTCATTATATTGATGTAATAAATCAGTATTGTGTATTACTCTATGATTACTCTGCACTAAATAAATGTAGAAAACGACTGAATGACTCTCAGACAAGATTTTTTACTCACCTCGTTTCATCTTTCGGAAAACGAAAGAAACTCCTCTCTTTATCCAGTTTAGATGATGATAAACAGCACAACTCACAACTATTGTAAATAGTAATGTACAATGATGTTATATATTAATGTACAAGTTTCGTAATGAATAAATGAAAACTATATTCAAACATCAAAACCATATAAGCGTGAAAATGGCTTGCAGACAGCCTTGTTGTCGTTCAGTCAATGTGACCGTCGATGTGCAGGGCGAGGGGTGGAGAGTGTCCATTCTCGTTACTTTTTTGTACTCTTGACACAACCTAGGGCAGTCCTCGAGGACACTGAACTTCATAAGATCTTTAATATAATTTGCTCTGAATGGTACAGGGGTTCCTTTCTGGAAAAGTAACTTGAGACTTTACTAAGGTGCTAATGCTTCAATTTGCTTAATTCCGCATCATGTAACCTCACCAATGTCCTGTTTATAACCTTTTCATCTATTACAGGAAATTCCACAATCTAAGCCCTGGGAAAAAGTATCAGGTCCACCAATATTACCTCCGCATCTGCTTCAAGTTATTTTAAATAAAGACACACCACTTTCGGTATGTATATCATTTGTTGTGAATACTTTGTATGTTTAAAATAAATGTGTATAAACATGAATAGAAAATAATACTGTTATATTTAATCAAAAGGTAAATAAGTAATCTTAACTGTATTCAAATGTCGTAAACTATGTAGTTACATTAAAATGTAACTTTAACGGTCTTAAGCTTAGGCGACACTGCGAACGAAGCTAGCTATCTTAGCTTAGCTCACGTGGTTGCAAGCTACCAACTATGCCAACTAAGCTAACTTAGCATGTAGATGCAGGCAAAGCTAAGCTAAGAAAATACATAGTAAGTAGTGGCTTAGTGCGAGGGATATGTGCCGGGGTAAACGGGTGACATATTTTACATAGCTAGTGGGATCGTTGGGTTAGTTTAGTTAGCTTAGTTCGCGGTGTGAACTGAAGTATGAAAAGATACAGCTACGTGAGCTAAGCTGTTAGCTTAGCTTCGTTCGCGGTGTGGCCTGCGCATTATTATTATTTATTGGATTTCCAGGGCCTTTACAGTCCAGGTTAATATATACGGTGCTGGTTAATATATTACCACTAATTAAAGTAAAAAGTTAAAGGAGGAGAGAGAACTTCTGTGTCCTAGTAAACATAGATATAGTAACTAACATTAGTTATTTTACCTCTGTCCATTTTACATTGCATTACATTTTACGTTGTCTCAATTAGTTTGGCAATAGTTACATGAAGATGCAGAGGAGTCTTCTCGCGTCATGGAAAAATCTGCACTCTACCCTCACTAATCTTTAAGTTGAAATGTGTTTATTGAGACTCTCTAGATTGACTCTAAAAATGCAATTGTTTTACAGTGTGAACCTACATTACTACCAGAGCCAAATCACGTAATGTTGAATCATCTTTACGCCTTATCAATCAAAGATGGTGTCATGGTGCTATCAGCAACACATCGATATAGGAAGAAATATGTCACCACACTGTTGTACAAACCTATATAAATATTACTTCTAAATTTTTTAACATTCTTCACATGGTAGATAGAAATGCCAACAATGCACCATTAATAACACAATGCGATGCGACATAGACACAATGTGACTATTGTGTCTACCTTGAAATTGCTGTTCAAATTAAATTAAATTCAAATGAATTGTATGCACATACATTATACACAACATGTTAATGTGAATTTTGCTTCTAATGTGGACATCAATGTATGTATCTTGAAAATGAAACTTATTTTGCCAGATATAAAATAGCGTATAGTAATTTGTTTTTTAAACCAAATATTTTAGATCCGGAAAAATAGTTTAATTTTTAAGCAAATGTAGCGATCAAGACCTTGGAACTTGAAATGTTTGTACTAATGTTATAAGGATTCTGATCAGACTTTGAAGTGCCATTTAGGTAAACACAATGAAAAATTGTCATTTCTGTATCTATTGTGTGAGAATTAGGGTCAAGTCACACTAAAAGAGCTTCGGCGCCCAGCGGCCGGAGGAGCTTGCGCGGTGCCTCTTTGAACTAGTCGCTACAAGTCTCGCGCGTCTTGCTCGCGGTGCCGCACTACACATTCTATCAGTTCAAATCAATATGAATTTTTTCTATAGAAGATAAGATTCAAAATGTTAGATAATACTTTGTACCAAAAATGCTCCTCCGGTCATTGCTCTTTCAGTGTGACCCTTGATGAATGTTAAATTTTTTTATTCACCGTTGTTGCTATTAAGCACTTATTGCAACCAAATTTGCCATAGGAATTGCTTTATAAACAGCATTATTTACTTAATGATAATTAAGCTTGAGCTAATGTTTAAGTCTTCTTGAAGACCATGCATTGGTATTGGTAGTGAAGATAATATTACAATGTGGGACCTACTGTGAAAGTTATGTGTAAATAATATAATGTAATTCGATGCAGTATTGTAACAATTATGTAAATTGTATATGTGTTGGGTTTAACAATCTTGTGCAATTTCTATGTACAGGAATAGGAATAGTCAATATCATAACTAGTAAAGGAATAGATCGTTTTATTTACAGTCGGCATGAAAATCATCTGAACCCCTAAAATTGATTTATATTACAAATTTGTCTATTTAATTTAAATGGGGCAGTATGGTGACATTCGAAATTATACAAGGAAAGGGCGCGTTCCCACTATGTCGTCACGTTTTATTATCGTTGGACTACTGTCGTGTCTAGCCTGTTCCCATATCACGAATATCTGTCGTGGACGATTTTTTATCGTTGAACGACTGTCGTGACTAGCTGTTCCCACTAGATCGTGACGATAATAGGAGCTGCGACAATCTGTCGTCACGTTTTTATCGTGACGTTTTTTTATCGTCAGACGACTGTCGTTCTAGCTATTCCCAGTGTGACGACAGTTTGTCGTTGTAACGATAAAAAATCGTGAACGACAGTTTGTCGTTGTAACGATAAAAAAATCGTGAACGACAGTTAATCGTGTCGTGCTATATGTGAACAACTTTATTTAAATATACAAGCCACGACACTGTAAACTGCACGACAATCTGTCGTCACGACATAGTGGGAACGCGCCCAAACTGTCATAAGGAACCATTAAGTCTTTTTTTGTCAAAACAATTTTGACATAGTAAATTTTTTGGTCAAGCGTGAGTTGTAATTGTAATTTGTTATTAATTTTATTAATTTTGTATGAATTAAAAAAAAAATTAAATTTGACCAACTTCTGCTGTCCCAATTTTTTTCTTCCGATACAACAAAGTCATCCTTATAAGAAATTGAGTTTATTACAATTTAAAAAAAGTCAATTTTGTCCATTTTGTATGAAAAAAATATTTCATGAAATTTTACCAACTTCTGCGGTCCCAATTTATTTTCGCCCCATACGATGAAATGATGCCTTAAAGAAACTGAGTTGATCAGCATAAAAAAATTTGATAGATTTTATTTTTGGAAAACTCACGCTAGACAAAAAAAAATTGAGTTTGCCAAAATTGTTTTCACAAAAAAAGGACTTAAGACAGTTTTCTTGTATATTTTGTGGTTTCGGATTTTCTCATACTGTCCCATTAAAAAAAAAACATTAATCGTTCCTAAGACAGTTTTCTTGTATATTTTATGGTTTCGGATTTTCTCATACTGTCCCATTAAAAAAAAACATCTGTATATTGAAAGAGCTGAAAATATCTGTACACGAACGGGACGGAAACGAATTTTTATTACGATGTTGTACATAGCATAATGAATGAACTTTATGGTTAATCGTGTAATGTACAAACTAGAAACGAGCCAAAAATCACATCGCGCGTCTTCCGCGGAATTCTCGCGCATGCTCGAGAATGCTCGCGCATTCGTGAGAAATCTGCAGCTGTCGTCGGCGACGCCTAGCAAATCCGCGGGAAGTGGCGCGAAACGTCGACGAAATACTACAGCCTCAAGGCGTAGTCGCGAGAAAGCTCGTGAATACTCGAGCATTCCAGCGACTGCGCGCGCCTTTCCGCGCAGCAAGGCGAAATTGACGCTTCCGTTCCGTTTCCGGTCGCGAGAAAGCTCAATTTACATTTTCAATTCACATTTTAGACTGTTTTTGTTACATTGTTTGATAAGTATATCTTTATTTCACTGATTTACGATTGGTTTTTGTGGCATGTAATATTTGCAGTTTTCTGGACCATTAGGATGTGTAGATATTTTAGGCAGTTTGACCGTTCAGTTTATTTTGAAGTTGACTGTAAATAAGATGGACAGTATTCTGGAACAGTCTGAAACATCCCTACTTTGAATGCTTATCTTGACAAGGCACACAGCGTAATGTCTTACAGGGGGATATCAGACAATCAATACTTGGATTCATGTCAAATACAAAATAGCGAAAGAATTTAGATGTTATCCTCTTTGTCCTTTACGTAAATTATTCATCGTTTTCTGTACACCTTTAAGCGCACGCCGCACCGCGAACGAAGCTAGCTAATTTAGCTTAGCTCATGTAGTTGCATGCAAAGCTAAGCTAAGAAAATACGTAGTAAGTAGCGACTATGGCAGACGTGCGACATATTTTACATAGCTAGCGGGATCGTTGGGTTAGTTTAGTTAGCTCTGTTATCTTAGTTCGCGGTTCGAAGTATGAAAAGATGCCCCGGCTACGTGAGCTAAGCAATTTAGCGTAGCTTCTTTCGCGGTGTGGCCTGCGCCTTATTCCGAAAATGTGTTTCTATTGTAATGAAATGACCACACTTAATGAAGGTCACAGTACCGGAGGGGCGTTATTGAAGTGTCCATATCATCAACTTCAAAGTTATTTATCCGAGTTATAGTATTTTATAGTAGTTAATATATTAATTTACTTCACTTACTTCCTCTATTGTTAATTAGGAAAGAATATTAAATTGTCCTCAACAAGCCTAAACTGTACGGTATACTAACGGTGTTCATTTTATAGAAGTGTAGATTGCTACTTTTGCCAGCTGGTGTGGTAGTGTTGTTATGAATTATTGTAAATAAAAAAAATACGCAAACGAGTTCGGACTTTCATTTAATCACTTTCTATTGTCAACAACAAATTCATATTTATTGCTTGTGATATAGCGTTTTTATATACAAGGAAACTGTCTTAGGAATCATTATTTGTAAAATAGTAGTTTATGTCACTGATACATAGTGAAAGACAATAAAATACCTTTGCACCTTACTTGATATCGAACGATATGATAGTTGGGGCCGATTCTAGTTTGTCTATGAATTAAAAATAAAAACTACGGTTGTGTGACATGCGTGAGAAAAGTTTTAATTTGCCGCCATTTCGCCAGTCGTAACATGCTGTTCCTGAACACATAACATAACACGATATGTAATATGTGTATAAATAGGGCGCACTATACTGCCCTCAGAACGAAACTGCTGTACGCATAGTTGTGCCTTTTTTCGTTACGAGGGCACTATAAGTTTCCGGAACTAGCCACTTACATAAACAATATTTAAATAGTAATTACAACATTTGAAAATGGAACTCGTTGGCTGTAGAATTCAGTTTATTTCATCTAACTGTCACTTGTTTTTACATTGTGGCGTCATTTTAGAAATTGGTTGTCTACATCACCATGGATTTAAGTCGTGAAAATTTTCGTAGTACGATTTTATACGGCTTTAAGTGTAATTTAACAGCTCAGCGGAGCTTCGCTCGGCTTCAACTGCTTTTGGCGATGAAGCACCATGCAAGACGACTATTTATAGCTGTCGTGTGAATCTCAGTGACGAATTTCGTGAGAGTCGCCCGTCCACTGCTGTGAACAACAAAAACATCGATGCTGTGCGCTGTATGGCCAAAACAGACAGGCATGTGACATACCATTAGATTCGGGCATCTTTAGGCATAGGCATGAGTCAAATACAATCAATACTACACAAACATTTGGGTGTAAAAAAGCTGTGCTCTCGGTGGATCCCACACAATTTGACTGAGGCTCAAAAAACGGATCGCGTTACTTGGTGCAATGCCATCTTTATCAGATTCAACGAAGGGACGTCAAATTTGGTGTGGGACATAGTAACAGGTGACGAAAAATGGATTTATAATTACGATCCCAAAACAAAGCAGCAATCGAGCGTATGGGTCTTTCGAGATGAGCCGAAACCAACCAAAGTGGCGCGCGTGTAAAGCGCCTCTAAGCGGATGATTGCTTGCTTCTTTTTTTAATAAAACTGGACACGTGGCTACTGTTGCTTTGGAGAGTCGTTGTACCGTGAATAGTGATTGGTACACGTCCATTTATTTGCCGGAAGTTATTGACAAACTCCGTAAAAATAACCGTACACGCCGTATCATCTTGCACCACGATAATGCCAGTTTTTACACGGCCAGACAGACAAATTAATTTTTGAAGGTGAACAACGTTGACCTTATGAACCATCCCGCGTACAGTCCCAACCTGGCGCCTTGTGACTTTGATTTATTTCCAAAAATTAAGAACCAGTTACGCGGTCAACGATTTTCATCACCTGAAGGGGCTGTCGAAGAGTATGAAAACATGTTTCAGAGGTCGGCACGTAGGAGTGACATAAATGTTTTCAA